TGATTTGGTTATATGTTAGAATTATTAATCATATTGATATAAAGAAATGTTTGTTTTATCAGGTTTCTAGAAGAATTATGATTTTGAAAATATTTGAACAAATGCTACTTTGAAATCTAATAGTTCATAAAAGCGTTTTAAATATTATATAAGACCATTAATATTCATAGGAATACTGAGAGTATTTATATTTTGTCTTGAAACCTATCAAATAGTGTACTTTAGTTTTTAATGTGGATCGACTATATTTAATTTGTCTTTTTTGAAATATACATTGAAAATGTTTCTATTATTTGATTTCTTTGGTTATTTGAATATGTGAACAAAAAAGTATTTAGTAGCAGGATTGGATATGTTTGAAATAGTTTAAAAAAAAAATGAAGTTGCTATGTTACAAATTTGTATTTTGGTATTTAATATAAAATATTGAAAATAGCCAATATTTATAATTTGTCAATGATTATTATTAGATTTAAAATGTATGGAAACAACTAATTAATGCATTTATTGCCTTTAAAAATTAAAGTAGAAAAACTACATTTAGGTACTGATTGTTTAGTGAATTTTGGAGAAAAATACAAAATTGATTCATCACCTGACTGTTTAATGAGTTATAGACAATGTAGTGAGTGCACTTAGTAAAAAAAAGCTTTAAAATTCAATGAATATTGTAATTAATTACCAGCAATTTTGTTGCTACTTGATTAAAAACTAGTGTAATTAAAGTAATGAAAGCATAAGTAGTAATATCAGAAAGTAAATAAAGAATATATTTAACTTAGATAGTAATTCAATAAATTACAAAACTATCTTATGAATAACATTTGTAGAACATATTTAAAAATGTTTTTAAAAAAAGTTATAACAATGTTACTACTAAGTGATTATATTATTACTGCCATCAGTTTTGTTACTGAGTGTAGATACATAAAAATATGTATATATTCACAAGTTATGTTCAAAACTTGGCTGTGAAAGTATATAAATAAAGATATGATCATCTTTTATTTTAAAATATTCATTTTATTTCTAAAATATTTCTTGTTTTATCCCATTTAAGCATTTGCTTTCCTCTCCTATTTAGTCGACAAACCCCTCCAAAATCCCATTCTTGCTGTCCCCATTCTTATCATCTTCATTTGTACCTTACACTAATTATTCATAAAAAAGAATGAATTTCTCTGAATGTTGCCTGCCTTACTATCTGAATTATTTGGTTCCGACAACTTCTCTGATCATACCCTCATTTATACATAAATAACTTTATCTTCTCAGAAAATTAGAAATTATATACCATCTATTTGGGTTTTACATTTCTATCTTTTTCATAAATTTCAAAATTCAAGAACTATTGTCCATCATACTGTAAACATAATTAATTTTATTAGTTTAAATAATGGTATTTCTCTATGTCCAAACTCTGGGAGGTATTTATAGACAAAATTTCTAACAAAGAATTTCATTTTATTTATGAATAGATTTTGATTGGAAAAGGAGTTTAGTCCAATTTTTTTTTTTAGGTGGTCACGTTTTCTCTTTCATAGGAAGTGATAAGACAAAAATTATTTAATTGAAGTAATTAAAAATTGTTTCATAGTAAGATAGAAAGTATTTCCTTCAAATACAAGTAGAGTTTGTCTTTTTCAAAACCATTTACAGAGATTATGAAGATTAATGAATATTCTGTCACTCCAGAATACCTGTATTTTCAGCAAATGTAACAACCAAGAAATTATTATAAAGTTTTAATTTCTTCTTTTTCTTTCGACCCAACATCTATTTTAGTAAATCAATAATGAATATATGAAAATACAATTATTATTCATTAAAAAAATACTGCTTTTTCAAAAATTGATTATCTAAGGTGTAAATCAGCCATTGTTTATAATGCAGATATCTATTGTAGAAATTGATCCTAATGGTATTAAATTAAATGTTCATGTGAAAAAATTCTAGCAATAGTGGGTTTTATTTTTAATATATTATATTTAGAAATGTTAATTTACAACAACAGGCTATTACTTTATATTGGCATTAATGAAGTTTATGTGGTATTAGGATTTTCATTTTAATGATAATTGATATTTCTCAAATGTACTATCCCATTTTCCTAAATGTCAACTTATTATTTTTTTTTTTTTGAATAATAAGTGTATTTTTATTTCATAATTAATTAACTAACATAGATGTCGTTTGAATAGAAAAAGAAGGAATTAAAAAGTTATTATAATTTCTCGGTTGTTATATTCGCTGAAAATAAATGTACTTTGGGGTGACACAATATCAAATCACATAATTTTTCATACAAATAGAGATGAATCTCAACTCTATTCAAAAAGAAACTTCAAATACATTGATATGAAATTAAAGGTTATTAAACAAGGAAGTTTTTATAAAATAATATAATATGGTATTTGTAGTATAGTTGTAGGATGATAAAAAAATATCCCGAATAATCCATGATTTAATGAAAAACACAACTAAGCATAGTTTGGCCGCACAAAGATCTCCTTTAAATGGCTTTGGAAAAGACAAACTATACTTGAAAAAAAAATGATCTAGTTTACTATGTTTGTGTCAACGCTTTCTTTAAAAAAGAAAACGTGACCATCTTAAAAAAAGGCAAAATTCGACTCAAATACTTTTGTGCCCATACATCAAATGAAATTTTTGTGAAATGTGTAAAATTGATGATGTAAAGAGCCAATCCGATAAGTCAGTTTTAGCGAAAAAGTTACTTTAACATTCCAGGTATATCCAGGTACCTCAATTTGATCTGCTTTGACCAATTGATACGCTATCTTCATTATCTGCAAAAATAAATTAAGTCAAATGTAAGAGAATTAAACAATACAATTATTTACCCCTAATGATAAAATTAAATTATTATAATCCCTAATCCCAATCCCGTACTCCAAAAGAAATATATATATTGTTTTTATTTTTTTATTTAGACTTATACTGTTGATGATTTCGTGTGCTCACGTAAGTAAATTCCTAAAACAACTATAAAGATTGCTAATTTATCGAAATATACTCATTTTCTCTGTTTTTTTTTTTTAGTTAAAACTTCTTTAGGCTCACGTATCACTTTATTTTGCGAGACAGAGACTCAGCTGTCATGCTCGACTGTGTAACGCTCATTCGGATGAAGTCGGCTCGAGTTGACTATTTTTTGCATCTTGAATAAAATCGGACCCGCATACTGTAAGCGTGGGGAATGTTCAGCATTTCATCCTCTTTGAAATGAGCCATTATTATAAATTGTATCTTGACGTCGTTTAAGAGGGGCAAAAAAAAAAAAAGATAGTGTCAAAAACCAAATTATAATGAAGTTTTTAGAAGATTTGGATTAAAATGTCTAAAAAACTAAAATTTAGACCTATAAGCGATGGAAATTACTAGCATTTTATTCTCTTATCCTCTTTGTAATGATCTATAATTCGAAATTTTAATTTGACATGATGCCGAGTTCGAGAGTCGGGAAGGTAAAAATATAGCTCCAAAAAACAAAAAAATAATGAATGTTTTGAACATTTATATTAAAATATCTGAACATTTAAATGCCGTGGAGAATTCAGATACAAATTTGCAGAAGTCAATGTAGATGTTTTTTATAATTAGCCGTAAAAATAAGAGATTAAGTATTTATTTTGATTTTTTTGTTGGACTCGATAGTTTTACGACAAATTACTGACTCCCGCTACAGAAGTTTTATTTGGAATAAGTAGAAATAATGTAAAAAATAAAAATCATAGTATTATATTTCTCTTTCCTTTATTTCTTTTTCTTAACCCCAATAAAATAATACTTTGAACAATTTATTTTTTGCATTGAACGCCTTTTACTGTAACTGTGTTACATTTTAAGGCCTTATTGAAATTTTGTTTATGTTTTGTTGTAACAATAATTTAATTAATAACAATAATTAATAATTATTGTTACAAACACAATTTCAATTAGGCCTTAAAATGTAACACAGTTACAGTAAAAGGCGTTCAACACAAAAAATAAATTAAGTATTGTATAATTGGGGTTAAGAAAAAAAAAATCATAGTGACTATAATCCAATTATGGACTGAACACAAGGATCATTATTAAATTAAATGGCTTAAAAATGACATCATAGCCGAAACGTAGCCGATGTAAAATAAAATGGAAAATAAATATGGTGAAAAAAGATACAGCCTTTACTTTATATTGTTAAATATAATTTCATCTAAAATATAAACATACATGGAAATAAAAAATAAGTGTAAGTAAATATGCACCAATACTGTATAATTGTCTTATACTAATTGACGTCTCCTTTTATAAGGATGTATAAATATTTAAATATCATCTGCTATAAAAGATTGATGAAGAAAATTATGCGAATATAGGAACAAAAAAATTATATTTCATATTATTAATACTGTCTTGTTGATGTCTTCACTTATATCGTGTCAACTTAAGCACACAACATAGCTGTTTTGTTTTTTAAAATTGATACACAAATTTGACCAACATTATTGAAAGAAACTGTATCTGTATTACACGAATATGCAGAACGTTATATCTACTTCCCTCGTTTGTGGCCCATTGTATTATTGTTCAACTTAAAAAATAAAAGCTGATGACATGCAAAAATTGTCACGGTAGCTGGTACAAAATTGTAACGAGGCTTAACGCAGTAAAAGATCTTCAGATTACAGTCGCAATGGAAATACCCACAAATGAATCTTAGATAACGAAAAAAAAATAGTTCATAGAAGGTTCAAATTTTGAAATATTCATAACCTACTATCATTCTTATATAAGGCATCATTTCGAAACAGAAAAGACCATCTTTAATATTAAATATTCAAAAAGAATGGAATCGACTCTTTCAACATATTATTTTCCTCACGTATCAAATTAGAACCTGTAAATAAGAGAGTCATTTATAAATGAGGGTTGTGAAATATGTATTTTTGCCAACATCTGTAATTCTACGAGACAGTTCTGCATTCTTTTTCAGGTCTTTGGCAAATTAAGATGTTGTCTTGCTTCTTCGGAAAAAATACAGTACTTGGTATTTTTTCATTTCTTCATCCTTATTTTTTAGCAAATTTATAACATATGTTAAACTTAAAATAATTAAGCATATAAACATTTAAGGTATTTTTTCTATGTATTGTTATATTTAAAACTGTCAGTGTTCATTGACAAACAGGGAATGAGATTAAAATAAAGAAATATCAGAGTATGATGGGCACGAGTGAGAAAATTACTTGGTGGCTATTTTTCGATCCTACTTCTTGTTTTTTATGATCTCTCATCCAGCTCCTTTTCAGAGATCTAAGGATGTGATCGGGCATATCTTTCTTGTTCAATTCTTTAATCAGTTCATTGGGTGTAGTCATGAAGCTTATTGGAAAACCTTTTGAAGTCCGTTGGTATGTGTTCGTTGATGGTTTGCATGCCTAAATGTTTATAGAATGTATCGCCGATGTACCAAGAGATTTGTAATAATTTAATAATTCTTGTATTTGTAAAGCGTCTCCAAATTAGTTATAGAAATGAGGGTATTTGTAATGTTTTTGTCTTAGGTCTAATTTTCAGCGACCCCGAAAAATAGAATATTACTTAATGTTTTCCGTTTAGCAGTAGTGTATGGGCCTCACGTCATCCATTTGTCCTTAGTTATGACTTTTCAGATTGGTGACAATTTTTTTCTATTAATTTTAATTATTTAAATTAATTTTTATTCGGCGTATAATTCTCAATTTTCTATCACTTCTAACTGAAAATATTTCTCATATTAGTATATCAATTCTTCATCGTTTTACAAAATATTGTCGATTAACTACTTTTTACTCAAGAAAAAATTCTTTCATTATTTCTTAACTTTCAATTATATATATCCAGCATTTATGTGGAGATAGTTTATCCCTTGACATATTTCATTTGAGGAATACAAATTATTAAAATAATGGATACTTCTTTCCGTTTTTGTAATGCTTTTATTTTTCTAGAAAATTGGGATGAAAACAGTGAAAAATATTACATTAAAAAAGCTTATAAAGAAAACTATGGTTTTTGGATGACACAAGGAGGATTTTATCCAGGTATATTATTTATGCTTGAATGCATATTTTCAGAAATATCTATTTAGTTTTTTTTAAGAACCCGGTATTTAAAAAATGAAATTGGTCACGAAATTGTGATTTTACCCATCATAGTAATTGGTACGGATTTATAAGTGATCAACCAAGTGTTTCAAATCCTAATATTTACGTTTTCATGAAAATAATTAAAGCAATTAGTAGATTGCTTTATCTTCAACGTAGTTATCAGGATTCCAAACATTTATTTAGTTACTTATAAATACGAACACAGTTCCATTTCACTTTATATAATAAATATTAAACAAATCATTATTTTTAACTCTTTTTTTTATATATATAAAATTTTTATTTATGAAGTTATTTTTACTATAATACATTCCAGGAGTAACTATAAAAAAAACTTAAAACTTTGCAATAATTTTTGCTGAAAACATGGGTACTTCTAGATGATAACATGTCAAATCACTTCATTGTTTTTACACAGTGTGAAATGAATCCAAACTTATTTCGAAGTAAACCTTAACTTAATTAATTTGACTAATTGAACAAGGAAGTTTTTCTAAATGTTTGGTACAGTACAGTTGGATGATGATTGCAAATAATTGATGATTTGTTTGATAAAACAGGACTTAGCTTACTTTATCCGTTAAATGGTTGACTTTGACAATGACCAACTCTATTTTCATTTGAAATAAATCTTGTCTAGTTGACTTTGAATGAATTAATTACTTAAATTAAATATTTTTTAGCTATAGCTTGCTACCTAGTTCTATCATAAATATTATTACAAGGAAATATATACAGATTTCAACAGAGAAATTAATTTTTTCAAAAGCTTTATTAGAAAATAAAATGTATATCTATAGAGAGTAAAACAAAAAAGAAATGGCTCAAAATTTCCCTCTTTTACCTCGACAAAGGCATTTAATCTCCGTGGCCAGTCATCAATAGCAGCACTCAGCACTTCTAGAGGAAAGCGCTCAACTGCTCTGACCAAAGATTAATTGAGGCTTTCCAAGTTAGAGTGTGCTGTGTGACATGGAAATTTAAGTAAAACATAAGTTGTAATTACCAAATTTAATTATTATTCCATTTTAAGATGGTATATATTTCTCATTTGTCACCTTCTTTTAACTTTCAGGCGTCGGAGTTGAAGCATGTTTGTACATACCGGCATCGATGGCGCTGTCCGTCATCTTCGCGATGACTGTTGTAAGCATCAGCAATAGCGAAATCGCTGTCAAAAGTGAAAGCGTGCATTTTGTTGCCTTCCTCGCGATCGAGCTGACTGCTATGATAACATTTATATACCATAAGAAAATAATTGATGAAATTTATTTGTAAGTTATAAGAACGGATATAAAAAATGTTAGTTACCTATCCATTTTGTGATATTATTTAACAATAGGTTTCTTTAGCTTAGCTATTACAGGAGCCACCAAAAATTTTGTATTACTAGGAAAACGTGGCTGCTGAGTGTGTACATAAATCTAGAGGAGGTGCTCTAATAATTATAACAAAAAAACACAAACATATTATCTATGACATTTATTAACAAAGTTATTATACGAAACCGTCAAGAGAAATAAAAATTACATAATTTAGTTTTTTAGCGTTTATTTTGAATTTCTTTGATTTAGTATTCAGGTTTATGTTTCTTGATTTAGTTTACCTGAATTTATTTATGTCAACTATGTTTATATATTTATATAAGACCTATCTCAGACTATCTTGGAGTATTGCTTTCCAGTTTTAATTCGATCTATCCATCTGCATTTTGGCCTTCCATGTGTTCTCATACCTACTATTGAGGCATTCATTATTTTGTAGAGATTTTCTGATGGATTGCTTCGAGCTTCATATTGCCACCATCTTGACCTCCTTACCTTCATATTATGAGATATAGAATGAACAGTTTTATATTGACCCTTTTTGTCCATGTCTTACCCCTTCCTTATCCAATCTGAAGTAGAGGGCACTTCATTTTCACGTGAAGTTCTTATCACTTTCATCAATCCCACCAACTTCCTAGGAACTCCAAGTTTAGTCATGATTTTCCAAAGATAGTTATTCTCCATGGGATCATAGACTGTTTTGATATGGATACGGCGTGCATATCCTAACACCCATGGTTTTTCGAACACCTGTTTTAGAATGAAAATCTGATCTTGTGTGCCTCTTCTGAATACTGTTGGTTTCCTATTATATTATCGTAACATGGTTATATCCGGTTCAAATAATATTGATCATTATGTTATATGAAACTGGAAGAGATGTTATATCTCTGCAAAGACTACGTCCACATATTGAGCATTTGTTATAAGATAACCTCTCCTCATAACTTCTGAATTAGTTATATTTGATTTGCTGTAGGGTCTTCTCATCCATTTTTATACAGTAGCTATTAAACGCCACTTAGATTAACAGTGTTGAATGTCTCCAAGTATGCTTAGGTCTTGACATAGGTTATTACAAATAAATCAGGTTTTACTTTAAGCTGATGTTAAATATAAATGATTTATAGAGCAATGGGACAGAAATTCTACGACTACGAGAACACTCTGGACGAAGAGTGCTACGAGGTGATCGCCAGCGCTTACAAAGCGGGCAGATCGCGGAAGAAGATATTCCACAACCTGTTTGTGGGCTGCTCGATGAGCACCCTGCTGACCGCGAGCATCGCGAGGCCTATAATAAGTTACCTCATTGGCGACCCGGACCCCGATGATGGTAAAGTCAACTCAAACATTTTAACAATATAACCAATATTAATTAGGATAAAGTATATTTAAAAGATTATATAACGAAGAGATAATAGAAATATTGATTTTTTTTATACATTTCTTTATTGAATTTTATCACATATTGTCACAATGAAGCTGGTGTCCAATAAATAAAAATAAATTAAATAGACTAACATCAAAATAATATTACTAAACATAAATATATGTAAAAATATTTGGTGTGTCCACTCACACGACTTTCTTATCTATTTCAGAAACGTCTTTATATCTTTACATAAGTTCATGAAGAAACAAAAAAGAATTGAACTAGATTTATTTTCCTGAAAATTGATCAAACAAAAGATTTGAGTACGATTTATTCTTATTTAATATTGATGTTCAAAAACTTTTTGCAATAGCTTAGCTTAATTGAATTAGCTTTCAAAACCTTTTTTTTTTTTAATTTTATCGTATCTATATACTTAGGGAGTTAGACTCCATAACATTTTTCTTTTCTTTATAACTTTTTTCCTGATTTTTTTTTCTCGGGAATTTAGTCTATATACGAAAATAGAAAGAAAAATGATTAGAACATTTTGGAAAGTTTTATTAAAATCGTTAGAGCAGTTATCGCGCTACAGTCTAAAACGAGTTTTTCATTTATTGAGCGCAAGCTATTGCGCATGGAGCACCGAATTTCTGTCACAGGCATCAGTAGTCAAAACCTTACAAAATAAAAAAAGAAGCAACAAAATTGGCTCAGTAGTTCCCGAGAAAATCTTGGCACAGACAGACAGACCAATGGCTAAAAATGTTTCTTTCGGACTCAGGGGCTCTGAAACGTATAGATCCGTCGAAAACCGCATGTCAGAAATTTGACCCGATTGCAATACTTTCCTTACCTAGTATAGGTAGGAAAGTAAAAAAAGAAACTTAAACTAATGAAAATAATTACTTAAACACAGGCATACCTATATACAATATCTATAAAATTCACTCATTCAGATGAACTCTGAGCCAAGCCTTTCCCTCGCTCTTGGACGGAAAAGCAGAACTCCAGGAGATTAAAGTGCCTCTCAGCCGCATTACTGGTATTATTTACTATTGGAGACTGAGCAGAGGTGATGTAACTCCATAAATATCAATTAAATGTAAATTATAGATAGATCAATTTTAATCTAAAGAGCCTTTGAAAATCCCCACCTACCTGATTTGATAGTAACTTCTGATTTCCTGAATGCTATTAATCAGACATGAAATTCAACGCCCTGTCTTCTTGATTCCTCTAAAGCCTTTGACTCTATTGATTTAATCTTCTCCCTATCTTAATTCAATTCTACTCTTATCCATGTTCTTTTATTCATATCTATCACACCATTATTTATTTATGATTGTTGTAGTTATTTACTTTCTGGTTTCTGCAAACAGTTGTTGAATGTTGAGACAGGCATCCTGCGGTTGGTTCCCGTACCGATATGGACACCGTTCAGGAGCAAGTCATGGCAGGTCAATTTAATTTTTTTCCTGGCCGAAGAAATAGTAGCTTACGTCACACCGGGGATCGTCTTCGGCTGTATCTTGTTCATCGTCTGTGCGAGCGAAGACGTCGGAGCCCAGCTGATCATCCTCGGCCAGTCCTTGAAGTCGGTGGTGCGAAGAGGGGAGCGCCTCGACATGCCCAGGGAGGAGGCCCTCAGGCTGTGCTTCAATCATTCGATCAAGCACCATCAGTTGATTTTGAAGTGAGTTCTTCGCTGTCAGCTCTATCCCCGCATGTTTTTTATTTATTTATTTATTTAAAAATATAGCAATCTATCACGTGGACAATAATTATAGTGATATATGATATAACGCATTCATACCATATATACAGAAAATATAAAATTAACAAAAGTAAAATAATAATAAAAAACTATGAACAATAAAAAATAAAATAACCTAAAGATAAGTAAATTAAAAATATAAAACACAGTCATACCTATATACAATATATAAAATCAGGCAGGGAACCCCAAGCCGGGCACACATATAACTTCTCCATTTAAACTAAACATTCAAACTTTGATAGTTTTGTGTAGTGGTATTTTTTAAAAACTGGATAAATATTTTAAAAACTGGGTTGATAATGTTTTATAAAATGAAAAATCCTTTAATTTAAAATCTTTTATTTTATTTAAATTTTAATAATTAAAATAATGGTTATTTTTATTAGACCAAATAACATTTGGAAGATCTTAAAGATGCGAATGCGTGTATTGCTTGATCCAAAGTGAGCTCCTTGAACTTTTTTTTTTTTTTTTTTTCTTCCCTACCTCGCCTTTTAGGCTATACGGGATTTTCCCGGGCCGGGAGGTGAGGGCGGGGAATTTAAAATCCCCTCCGGCACCGGGACACGAACTCGTACTTTTTATATCATCTCAAATCTCTGTTATCCGGTTGCCAGGCAACTAGCGGTGCTGTTACACACGCTTTAGCCTATTCGGCCACCCCGCCCTCTATTGTGTAGTGGTTTGTATTGGCACCCATAAGATGATTTTTTTTGATTTATTATTTTTAATAATCAACCTCTGTAATCGACCAAGAAATAAAAGTTAACCCTCTTCAAAATTTGCGGTTTTAAGTTTCAAGATACGTAGAATCATAAGATCAATTGAAAAATCCGTTCGTCCACCTTTTTTTTTATTTGTTATCAACTCCAACTTCGCATTTTAGGCTATACGCAGGTTTTCCGGGGCCAAGGTAAGAGGAGAATAATGATACCAGAGTCGAAAGCTCCTCCCGCACCAGGACACGAACTCTTTACTGTCGGCTCTTTACTCTTGGCTGCTGGGCAATGTGTGTTTTGCATACACATTAGCTCCTAAAATAGAGAAAACTTTTTTTTAATTTTCGTAATGGCTCTATCACCTATACAGTAGTGAACTTATTCTGCAAACTGACTGAAAAAAACCCGGTATATTTTCTTAAATTCATTGCGTGCATTCAAAGAAAAAAACGCCGCCAATTATTACTCTAAAAATTTTTTTGTAATGGTTAGTAATTTACTAAAAAAAATTGCTTCAGTAATAGATTCGAAAATCGCAACAAAGAAAAAGGACATAACCTTTGCAGTAGAACATACAAAAAATATCAAGACATCATATCTTCGCCCCGAATTGTCTGATTTCAACGATTTTTTTTAAAAGGAAAATTCGTAAACTTTTAAATAACCATACACCGGTGTATAATTTTTGAGTTATTCGGAAATCTAATTTTACCACTGCTCGATTTTTTTTATTCAGATTCTTTTCGTTGAAGTATGCTATATATATATATATATATATATATATATATATATATATATATATATATATATATATATATATATATATATATATATATATATATATAAATTTAAATGGCATCGAGTAAGCCGAGTATGTCCGATCCTCAGCCGGGTCAGTACCACTTCTTCTCTTCTGGTCAGCAGGATATTTGGTGCGACTCTTCGGATCTATGGTTCCACAACCCTTAAATTATTGTCCCTTTTGGCAGACCAAGTTCTTTGCATTCTTTCTTCTTCCAAGTTCTTTCTTTGATTAAATAGGCCAAACTTCTGAAGGTTGGCAGGTGATGATTGATTGACCCTCTTTGGTAGTTCTCTTGGCCATACTCTCTACCATCTTATTGCCTTTCATCCCAACGTGACTTGGTAAAATGTTTCCCCTAAAAACCCTTTCCAATGTTTTAAGATTAGTTAAGGTGTCGAGTACCAACCAGTTTTGAGAAAATGGATTCTGTATCGATATGAGAAGAGATTTTGAGTCGGAACAAATAACGACGCGGCTAGTTATTTTAGAAACTATGGATTTTACAGTTTAAGAGCGGATAGTTCAGCGATATAGACTGTAGAAAAGTGTGGAAGGGAAAATATGAGATGATTATTTTTCATCACCACAGCAGCACCTACACCCTCTTTGCTTTTATACTCATCAGTATAAATAAATATCCATTCTTGGTGGTCGCTTTTAAAACGATTGAAGTCTGTCAAAGGTGCATTGGAGAACTGCCTTTGGATTTGATATTATTAATTTTAAGAATGGCGAATAACTCTATTTTTAGGTTATCGATTTTGGGGATGGAAGGGAATGTCAGGTCCATGTCAGTGAGGCACGTTTTGCATCTTTCTAAGAAAGACGGTATTTTCTGTGATTTTGAGAATAGATTATATTTTCTGAGAACCAACGATTTAGAGAGTGTAATGGACAAAAAAGTACTTTTGTGAAGTATGAAAGTGAAAATTGTAGTTATAAAAGTTCTAGGTTACGATAAGATGAAACCATTCACGAAGTTTTAGGCGGATATTAATAATTTGATAAAAAGGGGTCTGTACCACGGAATAATATTTTTGTTATATTTAATCTATATATGATTATTTTTTTTATTATGTATGTTTCACCAATGTCACTTTAATATTTTGTTAAATATTTAAAATTTCATATTTCATTGATGCTACATTCACCTAATTGGGGAAGATGTTTAACTTGTGAAAACTAGTTACATTTATGTATATTTTGATTTGAATGGTCCAATTTAATTTGTATTTTTAATATGTAACTTTTAGGTTCATTAAATCGATTGAAAAGATCTTGAACATCCCAGGATTTGTATTACTCTTCGGTTCGACAATATTGATGTGCATGAGCGGTTTCATATTCGTCTCGGTAAGTTAATTATTTATTTTAACTCTCATAAAATATACTTTCTATAATTTAGACCCCATGTTTAAAAAAATATTTTTCGTTTTAGCTTAGTACAATTAGGATAATATAATCATTAACAGATAAGAAAAAAAAATGCTAATCAAAACCAATTACAAGAAATTAGGATTAAAGAAAATTTCAAAATAAATAGTAATTTAAATTAGGAAGAGAACTTAATCGGAAGTGAGTTGTAATTATTGATACAGTATCAGATCGCTATTAGCCCTATATATGGTAACCCTATATATTGATAGATAAGACAAGCGTATTATTTATTTTTTCTTAACAATTATTTACTGACGTTGGGCTCTTATTTTACTGTATTTAACGTGTGTAAATAATATTGATAAAAAATAAACCTATAAACAGGCAAAACAACAAAAAAAATTCATTTTTTAATTACAATGAAAATTCTAATTCAAGAGTTTTTAAGAAGAAAAAAAAAAGGATATCAATTATATTTATTCTTAAAAAATACTTATTTGGATCCGGAAGTATTTATCCTTGTATAATATCTATATTGCTTTGTTCTTATTTTCGGACCGAATTGGGGCAATATGCGAGGTTTTGTGCATGTAATTTTATTCGATACCCAAGATACCCAATTTTAATATTATTAAAATATTATTTTAGTAAAATAATATTGGCCATGTAGGAATAGTACGAGTACAATATTCAAAGAATTTGTGCCGACCAGATCAGGAAAGTGGGTTTAAAAATAGATCACTTGAAGATGAACCAATTGGCTCGAAACGTTTTAATGGCCTTAATAAATGTAAAAATTATACGGATTATTCAATTCTTGAAGAAGCTGTATATAAGTAAATTTAGTACTCTTGAAAAACATATTGGTGAAAATTAACTAAATATAAGTGGTTTCAAAATTTTTCTTCAAGGAGAAATAACGTTCTGATTTCGTACTTCAAGAAACCCTTAAATACGAATTTTCATTGCAATCAAAAAATGAGAATATTTGCTCAATATTTTCTTCTATGTTTCTAAGAATCAGCAATGACTTTGGGATCTATAAATATAAAAGAACAAGAAAGTGCTCACTAAAACTAAAATAACGTTGTTTAACACAAACGTCAATTTGTCCTGCTCCAGGGAAGTCAGACATGGAACGTGACTGAAACCGTTTTCACTACCCTTTCAGATCTTTATCTAGTGCTGCTTTCGAGGAATCCTGTGGTCGAGAGGATCTCTTGAGTACATCAAACAGCTTCCTGTCCATATCAAATAAAGAAAAAATCAATGGAAATAGATAGGACACATTTCTTTTTAGATAGTGCAATCGAAAAAGAAGCTCTTTAGTGGAATCCCAAAGGGGCAAGAAGAAGAGGAAGGCTAAGAGAAACAACATGGCCGAAATCTGTACAAAATGAACTGACCCGGCAAGATTTAGGCACAAGCAAAAATGATTGCTGCATAAAGAGCGATAGCATAAGAGACCAGTAATTTAGTACGCTTTGTACGCCTGTAGTAGCATCAGGAAAAAACCTTAGTAATGAATGCTTTTGGTGTTGTTGAAATGCGAGACCAAGACGGGTCTTAGTCTTACGCACTCGGTCTTGGTCTTGCGCTAGAGTCTCGCAACAGTCTTGCAGTTACCTATTAGCCTACTTCTCTGCAGATATTACTGGAATTTTTAGATAAGGGTAACCTAACTAAGCCCGAATTAAAAGTTGAAAGAGTTAAATGCAAAATTATATTAGTTATACCAGTTCTTTATATATAGTAACTAAAATTGTCAAGTGTTAGTAACTATTTTTCCTTAATTTGTATTCACAAAAAAGATTTATTTTATTTTTTGTTGACATGTCCTGGTCTTATTCTTGCATTTTTCAAGACCAAAACCCATTTTGGGCAACACTAAATGCTTTAGTGCATTTCTTGAAATAAAAACTCCTGTAAAATAAAGTAAAAAAATATATATACATTTTTTAAAACAAACCAGTATTTAAAAGTTTTAAAAGACGATTCAAATGAGTATGAATTGCTTTTTCCACATGACGAAACTTTACTTGGCCACCTTTGCTGGTAGTGTATTTTGGTTATTGTAAATTTGAATACGTTTAATACAATCAGTATTTTTTTTTTCAATTTTGTTTACACACACAACAAAAACTGAAGTTGATATATTATAAACTACAATTTCATGCAAAGCAAAGGCAGAGAATCATATTAAAAAAACGTAAATATTTTATAAAACCTATTTTGTTCTCAGCTCTAAGAGGGCATTGGGAAGAACTTCCGGTCTAATATTTTTAGACCTAGTATCACCAAAAAAGGTTTCATTGAAATCGGACCTCACGTCTATATATATATGTTTATAAATAACACCTAATTGATCCTAATGAAAAAAAAATTGAGACATATGAACACTTTATTTATTTTTTGTAATAATATGGAATATAACATTAATATTTCAGAAAGAAGTGGGTTTTATTTCAAAAATTGTATTTTTCCTGTTCCTTCTCTCCGAGATGGCTATAATTTTCTTGATTTGTTGGTGTGGAGAGTTCATTCAAACCACCGTAAGTGAGAAATGAATCACTGATTTAAATCATGATTCTATATTATTATAATGTTTTTTTTTTTGTTTTTTTTAATAGAGCACCCAGATATGTGATATGGTATACTCCAGCGAATGGCCAGACAATGCGGAGATGAAGAGTTTTATACTCATTATACAGTTGAGAAGTATCAAATCTATAAAACTTAATTTAGGGGGCTTCATGGTAGCTTCTTTCGAAACTTTTGGAAATGTGAGTAGTTAAAAAAACACAGTGTTCTATAGAAAAATTATATCCTAGCTGATCATAGGCAATTACATAAATAAAATTATATTAAATAGTAATTTAAAAAAAAAAAATTATAATCTTAAAAAGTTTCAGTTAAATATTCTAAAATTTCTTATTCAACTAATATAAAAAATATAACCTATTAATAATGGAAAATTATAATTATTGCAATATAGTATAAAAGTTAGACATAATTATTTGATTTCCTGTTCAATTATTTATTATAACTTATTTATTTTTCTATGATTGTTTCAGATCTGTAGCTCTGCTTTTTCATACTTTAACCTCATGCTTGCAGTTAATTAAGGAGAAGAAATAAGATAAAATAGTCAATTTATTAATGATATCGATAGAAATACTATACATGTATCGTAGATATTGTAATGTTGTAAAATGTGTAACATTACATGATATAAATTATTATAGAAATATAATTCACTATAATACATACAATGCACCATAATGATTGTCTTTAACCAAAAACTAAAATGTTTTTTGTACCAGAATAAAGTTTTTTGTGTGTTCTATTTGTTTTTGTCTTCCTTAAAAAACCTTGTACAAGAGCAATACTATATTGTTGCAAAAAATAAATTTTTGTTTTACGCTAGTGCAGATGGTTGAAGAAAAATTGTGGATTTTATGTTTAGAAAATCAAGCAACAAATTTGGCCGCTAGACTCGAGAATGTTCAAGCGGGCAAGGCTTGTCTGTCTGTCTTTTTTTTTTCTTTTATTCCCTACCACGCTATTCCTGGAGTACTGGGTAGCTATTCTAGAGGTACAACTAAACCTACATTAATCAGAGTGTGAAAATCGAGATTCATTCCGTGTGTTGATTTGCTGCAGTTGACTGATGATTTGGTAGAGTTAGCAGAAGTCATGGAAACTATAAAACTAAATACAACAATGGTGTTATAGATATCGAACGAAATACGCTTGAACACATTGAGAAGTTTAGGTAATTAGTGCATACGATTACAATAAAATAAAAACATATTAAAGAGGAAGCTAAGGTTAAGTTAAAGACGAGAAATTCTGGCTATTTTTAAGTTGCGAAACTGAGTTGCTAAGCTCTTGGCTCTTGTCCTGAAAATTTAAAATCAGAATTTACAAAACCATTATTCTACCCATGATTCTTTATGGATGCGAAACGTGGCCGCTTATATTAAGGGATGAGCAACGTCTTAAGGTTTTTGAAAATCAAGTATTGCGTGGTATATTTGGACCAAAGAAGGATAAGTCAACCTGAGAATTTAGGAGGTTACACAACACTGAGTTGCGTGAATTGTATCCGGTTAATATAATTGAGATAATTACATTAAGAGGTTTTGGGTTATTTCTCAAGAATGTTTTGGCCTAGAAAGCTGAAACCGGTGTCATACAACATCAGAAAAGAACTTAAAACATAAACAGGTTGTCCTAATTAAAATAAAAAATATATATAAAATAAGAGACACTTGAACAGTGATTTGTAAATATTGTATTCAAGTTTTGTACTTCTTTAAATAAACTTACATGTTAGTAAAATTTAAATAAAAAAATATTTGCATAGATTTAAATTTAAAAATGACTATATTTTAATGATGGCGGACCTTGACAGCGTTTTTAGTGTACCTCTTGTAGGTCGACACTTTTTTTCTCGTAAACCCATTGCTCCTCTATTTTGAAATTTGACTCACTTTTAGTTACCATATTTTTGAATAGGATATATATTTTTATTAAAAATCAAAAAGTGGGTTTTTTCAAAATTCAAAAATAAAGGTTTCAGTTTTTTTTTAGAAAAATATTATATTTATAGAATTTAATTTCTTATATGAAAAGAAAGAGTATAAATAACCGAAAAATATGACACCGGTTTCAGCTTTCTAGTTCAAATAGCTCTTGAGAAACTACGTACGTTATAAATACAAACGAAGTCTGCAAGTGGTGCGGCCAACTTATCAATAACGGTTTAAGCACTGGAGTGTTTGTTTCTGGAGACACATAGAAGGAAATACCTACATACCTATATAGAGGCTGCCACAGATGATTTATCGCTGGAGTGTGTGTTGGATATAAAAACTCTTGACCAGTTAAACAAAATATTTTATTTTATTTTAAGTGTTGTGATTCTATCAATACAAGTACAAACCCTCAGCTTTAGGTCAGTCTGGCATGTGTTCATATGTCCGTGGGCGTACATTTATTTATTCACAATTTGGGTGCCTTTTAAATATTATTATTATTAATTGTTCGATTCTACATGTGCGTTGTAATCCTAAGATCTCTACTACTTGTTTTGCTTTGTTATGTTCTGCATAGTAAATTTTCTTTAGTATATATGTGTTTTTATTCAGTTATGATATTTATATATATATAAATAGTAAAAATATTTGGAGAATAAAAATATTTATGTTTGTTATAAAAAAATATTTTTGTTTTTGTTTTCTTATACTGTACTTATTTACTTATTGTCTTCTACTTATAAAACTAATCCCTGCTAACACTAAATGGGCCAGACTCCATGGCTACGATGCATATTAAACCAATAAAATTTTTCTATTTTAGTTCTTGAGAAATAACCCAAAACCGCACCGTTTTTCAAGGTTTTTATTATTAAAAATACATACTCAAAAACAGCAGGTCTGAAAAATCGAATTAAAACAAAAAAAATTATATTAATGCATTCAACAAATAACGAAAAAACAAACAAAATCCAAGACCCGGTTGATTTGAAATGGAATGACCTAATAACTAGAAGAAAGTATGATTTCTTAGAATAAAATGGTTGTTATTACATGGGCCAGAAATAGTAAGATGGCACAAAGGTATAATTTCGTCAACTGAGGCGAGAGGGCCAGTTACATGACAAATTCTCGTACCAACTTCCATTATTCAAAGAAGAAAGAAGGACAATTCTTAGCAGTGCATAACTTCCCACACGAATGCAAACATGGCGTCAGCAACTGGTAACATTTTAACTTCCCGAAAACAACTTTTATTTAGATTTAATTATTTATGATAAACCCTTTGGTTTTCAGAGGACGAGAGAGAAATCGATGAATATTATATTAAAAAATACTTGAATAATAATTATAGCCTGGAATTTTGGCTCAAAGCTGGAGGATTATTCGCTGTTGGTCCAAAACGTAGGTAAAATAAACCAAAATTAACGATATAGTAAAGCATTACATTTATAAAAATTTAATATGATCTTTAATTTGAATATACTGACAAAATGATCGATTTAAATAAATAAGTATATTTTGGTGACTTTTAGTGATTAGTTCAGATTCTTGGCCTACAATGAAAAAAAAATGAGTTTTTCAGAATTTTTCTAGAAAATAATTATTACAAAATAAAATTAAGATACAATAAAATATAAACTATTGATAAAATTGACAATTAACTATATTAAATAAGTGGAAAATTATAAGGAGGAGAGAATTAAAAAAAGTGGTGGAACCAGCTATGAAGAAGTTCTTAAATGAGATTGATCTATGAGAAAGGGTATAATGAAATGAAAAAATGAAATGAAATGAAAATATTTTTTTTTTTATTATCCTGGGACTGTTGTCCCTTTAGGACGAATTACAGATACAGAATAAATGCCTGTGTGGCCATACATAAAATTAATTATTTACATTTATTATTAAGATTAAGATTTTGAAAAAATAATAAAACAAAAAATATAACTATTACACTAAAAACATTCTGATATGTATAATACAAATTATATAATAAAATAAAATAGCATAAGTAAAGAAAATCATTTCTAGGGGAACTTTAAAAGTTCTCTTATCTACATTTCAAAATCAATCAGGTTGGGAAAGGAGTAGGTGGTTAAAAAGGAGAGATTTAAATGAGGAAACTGATTGTACATGTCGGATATCGGGAGGGATGGTATTCCAGAAGGAGACGGCTTGAATTATAAAGGATTTTTCAAACGCTGCAGTTCGGTGGGGAGGTGGATAGAGGTCGGAGGTACGAGATCTAGTGAGACAGGATTGAATGAGATAGGTGAGTTGTTCAGGAAATGATTGGGAAGTATCTGTATGGATTTGAGGAGTGAGGGAGATCCAATCAGAATGGCTTTCGTATTATTGGTGTTTAGAGTAATCCTATTTTGATTTGCCCAGGCACATATTTATATCTTACTGTAATTTTTGGATGGCGCCAGAGGATTCGGTTGGATTGAAGCAGAGGTAAATCTGGACGTCGTCGGCGTACAGATGGTATTGACAGTGAAGGATAGAGGATGAAAGTTCATTGATGTAGATGGAAAAAAGGGTGGGAGATAAAGAGGAGCCTTGTGGGACACCCCTGGACAAAGGTAAAGGTTCTGATGGGGGGTTATTGGAGACTACAACATACTGGGAGCGGTCGGAAAGGAAGGATTGGAACCAATTAAGGGTACTAGTTGAGAAGGAAATATTTTTAAGCTTGGTTAGGAGAATTTTGTGGTCTACTGAGTCAAAGGCTTTGGAGAAGTCAAGGAGAATAAGGATGGTGAGTTTCTGCTGGTCCATGGCTGTATGAAGGTCTTGCGAAATTTTGATGAGGGCAGACTGAGTGGAGTAGCCAGGCCAGGTATAGTGGCCAAAGGGTCGAGATCTAATGGAAAAGGAGTGGATGGAGGACTTGAATTGGAGAAAAGTGTAGGCATAGGACGGGCGAAAGTTATGGATTATTTATAAATATAAATGGTAATATCGTTTAAAATGTACAAAATTCGTCCTGAAGATGCGTAAAAAACCTGAAACATGCACATACTGACGTGGACAAATTTTTTTTATAATAAAAAAAAATTCGAAAAATAAGTTAAAACAATTGTAACTCAATTTTAATAGTCAAAGTAATTGTAAAACTAGCAAACCTAAATTTATTTTTTTACTTATTCATGTCCTTTAGCCTATTGTATATCAACCAATTTTATTTTTTGTGCAAAATAAGAAGCAATATTGACTACTGTTTTTAGCGAGTTATAATACATCAGAAATTACAAAACCGAAATGCGCATCCAGTAAAGTATGCCAAGTCAACTTTTGTAATAAAAAAAAAGAAGTTAGATTCGTTTTAAGTGTGTGTTTTAAATTATATTGTATTTTTATTTCAGGTCAGCTGATTTATCTTATTACTGGGTTATACGTAACAGTGTGGATACCATTTTTTCCTTTGTTATTCATGACTGCATACAAAAAGAATGGAATAGAAATAGAAATAATTTGTGAGGCAATACACTTCTGTGTATTTATAATTTTAGAGTTGATATTTTTGATTGCATTCATAATCAACCACAGAGTTTTAGCGGAAAACTTTACGTGAGTTGAATTTAACAATTTTATATTATTATAATGCCACATGCACTATAATTCTACCAAGATTAGTTTATGTGACGGACCTATGCAAGGGGGTGGGCTACATCGAAAAATTGTGGGCACATCTCTCCGAGTTCGTTTCAATATATCCCTAGGAAACGAAAAAAAAAAAAATATATAATTTTAAACAAAATATATCTTATTTATTTTTACTAGTATTTTTAGGTTATTATATATCAATCGATTTTATTTTTTGTGCAAAACAAGAAAAAAATACTGACTATTGTATTTTACAAGTTATAATATATCATGAACTTACTATTTATTTATTAATGGAGTATTATAATAATCTGTTAATATATCATAGATCACGGAAACCAAAAGGTGCCTCGAGTAAAGTATACCAAGTAAATTTGTATCAGAGAAATGAAGTTAGATTCGTTTTAAGTGTCCTTTGAAACTATTAAATAAGGATTTTAATAGAAATAAAAAATACTTATTTTTCTTAGAAGTTTTTTTTCCGGCCAATCATTAAAGCATTCATAACTTCTCAGGATTTATTCCAAATTCAAGGATAGTACAACCGTTGGAAAGTTGAATCAGAGCTCTTCCAAGCCACATCGTTAACTTTTAAAACTAGAAATTAAGAAAATCTTCTCAATCATTTTTATTTTATATCTTTGGTTCGAATTTATTCCCGAAGGTTAGTTTTGTACCATTTCATTCGATAACGGGGCAGTGTTTTTAGCCCAAATTGTTAAAAAAAAAACTCAAAAGGTCTCACATCAGATTTAAAAATCGATCAACCCGTTCGTTAAAAAAATCGTTACATAGCTTATAGTGGGACAGCCCAAACACATAACCCACTTGTCGCTTCGCTTAGTCTGGTAAATATATATATGAAAAACAGCTTGAAATTCACAAAGTAGTATTTTACCTACAATCCATACATGATATGTAATGATTAATAGTGAATTTATTTTTACATATTCACTTTTTTTTTTTTTTGTAAAGGCTCATGGGAAAAATAAATACCTTTAATATATTTCTTATGTTAACTCACAAGTTACTAGCCGGTGATTTTAGCAGTGGCGACCCAGGTATAGTTTCGACATAAAATATTAAAAAATTCTACATGATCGGTAAATGAAAACCCACTAGTGTTTATAATGGGCGAGTTTACTAGCAGCTTTTGAATGCACCCACTAGTATTTTCAATGATATCGAATCCCCAATCAGTAAATAATATAAATTTGTAAAAGTGATATCATGTCCAAAATGAATACATTTTTTATCATCATTATTATTTATCTTTGTCTATAATATTCTAAAATAATATTTAAAACATGTAACCTGTTCACTTATTATTATTATTTTTTTAATTCACTTAAAGACTCATGGGAAAAGGTTTCTATGACTACCAAAACACACTGGATGAGCAATGCCAAGCATTTATCGCTAAGGCGTTGGATGAATCTAAAAGGAAAAAGACACTTATAGCGAAAGCATTCATCGGAGTAGTGATGTGTGCTTGCGTTTCCATCACAATCTTAAGGCCGATCTTGAAGTTTCTTCTTGGGGAGCATCGCTTAGGAACACCTGATGATGGTAAGTAACGTTTCGCTCAAGAACAATTATGATAAAATGTCTTAATATTTATGATTAAGATTAAATCGCTCCTCTGGTTCTGGAAAAACCGTATAGCCCGAAAGGCGAGCAAGGGAAGAAAAAGAAACAAAAAATATCGGAGTGTCATTTGACCTCGTCAACTTATATGAGTAAGTTGGTTTTGTAGCAATGTTCTGTGTCTGTACATAGTCTGCTATAGTTGTAACGGTGGCTCAAGATAAGATTTTCTAGGAGTCATCCTTTTTTTCATTGAAGGGTGATTTGTTCTATGTTCCTTATAAATTCGAGATTTATTTATGGGCGCTGTCTAATTTAATTCCTTGTGCCCAAAGCAGCCTCTATAGTTTGCAATAGGTTGCTCTATGGTGTGCTTTTTCACAAATAATACATTTAGACGATGTGTCTAGAGATTTTTTGCAATACGATGACAGAAGCGCTCCATTACTCACGAACCTCTCGGATTCAAATTTCAACATGAATTGGTGTGTTCATAAGATTGGCACCGCTAGCATTGGACGATTTCATTGAGTATTTTCGGTTTTTCAACCATAATTTTTGTATGGTACAGAAATTCTAATGAGAAAATATGGGAACTTTTGTCATTTTTCAATGAATTAACAAAACACATTAGCAAAGCTGGTAGCCCAATTCTTCTAATGCTATTTCGATTAAATCGCTTGCAGTGTGATGTAATTTCCTTACTTTGACTTGAAAGACGTCGTTCCTTTGAAAGTTGGTAGACATGAAACTCTCGCTTTCTTTGTTTGAGGTACTTGGATATTCGATTGTAGGAATCTGATGAATTTGACATTATAACTACGTTATTTTAGATTTCAAAGTGAACCCGTTAAAAACATACTTCTTTGACAAGTGCTTCGCACTACAGTTTGTAGTTACTGATTGATTTTACATAGGTCGGTGGAGATTTCAACTTCACCACTTTACTTACTTGAGTAGTATTATGGCTAGAGTTAGTATTATTGCTAGAGTAGTATTATGACATTGAGCATACACCTCAGTTGGTAGAACAGTAAAGGGAATTGATGATTCGAAATGGCCTGTATGTCTGGCTCAGTAATTGCATCTGTTCTAGGGAAAAAGCTTTGCGCGGAGATATTAGATGCCTCTCACCTGTATCACTTCCAGCCTCTTAGCTTATTTCTTTACCTTTTCTTTTATATCCCGTTTTATACTCTCTGGCGTTAAACATCTTAGAAATTGTTAATTTCTTGCTGGGTCCTGAAGGGATCTTAACCTTCAACTACTTGTTGGAGTGTAATCCTAGACCTTTAACAATTATTTTCTCAGCTATCACAATTAGGTAAAAATATTACAAACTTACTAATTATTGAGCGTAAACTTTACTAAGTTGATTATGGTAGTGAAATAAATGGTCATGACCAAGGACGCCCATCTCTTCCAAAGTCGATGAATCTCTCTCCCCCACTACCTAACATATTTTATTGCTCTCCTCTTCTTAAAAACATTATAAATAGTAATATCGTAAATTATATACAATTGCATTTGCTGAGGTCAGTTCCATGTATTCCTCTTGTCTCTTTGTTTGAAACTATTCAATCCGAAAATTCATAACCATCGAAATGTGCCTTCCCTCAAAAACCCAAAATTCTCTCAAAATATACCCCCCTCAAAAATTGTGATGTCACCTTGCGCCATGAAACCCGCTTGTGGGCATCCCTGGTCGTGACACAGTGCAATCACTAGATGAGTTCTCGCAAACCTGGCTTTATATAATTAAAATATTTCTTTGAATGCACATGAACATTTTTTACATATTATATAAATAAGTTATAAACAATTTAGCGCTTTCACGCTAGTATAATTTTTTGATAAATGTTTCAACAGTAGGATTCCTGTATTTTTTTATATTCCAACAGGTATCCTGCGACTTTTACCAGTAACAATATGGACACCGTTCAACAAACAGTCCTGGTACATCATGCTGATTTGTTTCATAGGCGAAGAAATAATATCTTACGTGACTCCAGGAATAGTGTTCGGTTGTACTCTCTTCGTCGTCTGTATGTGCGAAGACGTCGGAACTCAGCTTATCATCCTCGGATACACTCTCAAGACGGTGGTACGAAGAGCGAAGTGTGTCAATATGTCAATGGAGGAAGCACTCAAGTTGTGCTTCAGTCACTCCATAAGGCACCATCAAACTCTTTTGATGTAAGTTTCGATTTAAAATTACCGTATGTCTAAATGAAATTATATAACAAGCTGTATCATTTATATCTGTTGTACAGAGGCCAAAAGTATTCACTTCGATAAATTTACTACTCTAATTCCTATGAAAATATCTGTAAGAGCAATAAGCTCGCTAGGCTAAGGTTAGAGTTTGGTGCAGTGCATTTGTTAGACCCGGAGGACTGGATTTGTTAGACTCGTCAATCTTGTGCCAATCATGTTCTTACACAAGAATCTTTTGCAACAATTTAACATATATATAAAACTATATATTAACTTAATGATAGAGAGAGAAATACTTTATTAAAAGTAATGCTGCCCTACTACATAGGGTTGCTTCGTACACAGCATACCTATCAATCCACAAGGACATTACTTTTATATTTCATTTTTCTATTTTTTTATACATATATATGTCATATCTTTCCTTTCTTTCTCTCTTTTTCCTCTTTCCTCTCATAACACATTCTCATAAGCAATTCCCAGAGTGCAGACAAAAAGACAGGACGACAGCGGATCAATTCAAAATTTAGTAAACAATTATTACCAGATGTCCTCAATCGGTATAAATATGATAGTGGATGATTCCCAGGGAGTCCAAAACAATATTTTCGGCCAATACCGCGAGCTCCCCAACATCAACACCCAGTTCTTCGAGAAAGCTCCTTGTTCTTTCGGATCGTTCCGCGAGACCCAAACCAGAGGCCTCTCACGGTGAACTCTCTCTCTCCGAAGGTCTCGCGGAATTTCTCTTTTAGGAAAGGGATGCATTTTTCGTATATATTCCTCTTTTCCCTTTCCACTTCACCCGCCTGATCGAGGTCGTTGCTCTCAAAGCGGACAGTTGGATCCAAGATTAGCGCTGTCCTTCCTGTTCTGGGAAACGCGACAATATCCGCATATCTTGTAGAGCCTTCACTGTCTATGCAATAGACCTCGTCAAAGCAGGTGAATTCCTTTTCTCTAAGGAGCCTCATCACCTCGAACTTTACCCTATGGTGCCGGCGTGTTATGAGGAGGGAATTGTTGGGGCATTTTCCCAGCACATGGGCTGGTGTTTCCGACTCTCTGCCGCATTTACGACAGAGGGATCCAACTTCCTTCGACTGTCCACTGGCTCCTGGGACTCCGCGTAAAGGTGCGTAATTGATGTTTAGTTTTAATGCGTTGGACCATTCCGACCCCGAAAGCACTTTTTTCTGGCATATGTATTTATTGGCTTTCGGGGTCTCTTTAAAGTGTCGAACTCCAACGCCTTGCCACCTGCAGCTGGCCCACTCTTCAAAAGAATTTTCTCTCAGCGACTGTCGTAGAGCTCTCACGCTTCGGTGGCCCTGATCCACTCCCAGTCTTTCCGCACATTCCGCGATTTCCGCATTATAATCAAATGTGGACTGGAACAGGGAATCCGGCACATTAGACAGCCGCTGGGCAATGGACCAATGCTGCAAAGGAGCCTCCCATTGACAGCGGATCAGTCCCAATCCACGAAACCTCCTCGGTGCATAAAACATCGCCGTTGATGCATTAGCAGGGAGCCCGATAATGGCCTTGACACTCCTGCGGATATTTGTATCAATTCCTTCCAATATCGCAGGACGTATCTTTGTGAGGGGCGCCGTCTGAAGAGGGTAAGTCCCGGGAACACGTACTGGTTCACAACGTTGATCTTCTGCTCCGGCTTAAGAAGGCAAGAGCTAACCAATTTGTCCAAGTTGTTGTTTAATTTTGTCACCATTTCCTCTTTTAATACCAGCTCTCCCGAGAACGCACATCCTAAATACTTTATAGTTTCACCTGGCTTTGTTGATGCTATCACTTCTCCGTTCTCTAGGGAGAGCTTTGTTTGTTGCAGCTCTCCTTTTTCGACTATCAAGCCCACGCTTTTCTGCGGATTTATTGCTAGACCGATCTCGGCAAGGATCCTCTGCACACCATTAACAATCCTTTCTGCAGCACCCTTGTCACACGCTGTAACAGCCTGGTCATCCGCGAAGCCTGTGAGGACCACACATTCTTGGTCGCTGCTTAATTTATATCCATAGCGGTTGGCAAATTCTTGCTCACACAGGTCGCGGTACAGATGATCTATAGCCAGGTTGAACAGCGAGGGCGACAAGGGTCCGCCTTGGGGTACTCCTCGCCGCACCTTGATCCAGCTAGTCGAGTGGGCTCCGATCCCAATCTTGATTTGGTTTGAACCTAGGAGAGCCGCAAGTACGTTCTTCAGGTCTGGTGGCACTCCTCTTGCCTCTAGTGAGCCGATTATATGTTCGTGACCAACGTTGTCGAAAGCGCCAATGACATCCAAAAACACTACCGCGCAATCTTTCTTTTTATTCTTGGCGTCTTTTATGATTGCGTCGATAATTCTGGCGCTTACGTGTGCTCCCGGTAGGCCTCTGATGAAGCCTCTCTGATTTTTGCTGAAGGTGATCTGTTTTCTCAGTTCATGGTCCAGAACCTTCTCAATAATTCGGCGCACAATTGAATGAATGGTAATGGGTCGCCATGATGATATGCTGTTGCTATTTCCTTTACCCTTGTATACCAAGATTGTGCGCCCCTGACGTAAAGGCTCCGGTACATATGCCACCCTCAGCATGATCTCCGCAATGGTCTTTATGATATATGAAACATCAAAGAATTTAATCGTGCGGACCAAAACTCCGTCCGGCCCCGGTGATGTGTCCAATGACGTTGATTTGATCGCCTTTTTTACTACTTGGACATCGATGGATGTAAGATTTGGCGTCGGGGCGCAATTCTCGTAGTCCGCACGTTTGCAGAGATTTTCTTTCTCAAAGAGGCTTCTGAAGTGGCCTTCAATCTCGGCTACCTTCAGAGGGCATTGCTTAGGAGCGTCGGCGTTCATAATATTCTGCACCACTTTCTTTCTTCTGTTATAATAATTGTACTGGGCTACCTCATATTGATATTGTTCTTGCCGACGACTCCTATCTGCCTTGTTGGCGCTCTGTGGATTGGACACTTTTCCAGCACCCTTGCCAACCATATCAATCTTGTTTTTCCGTCTTAGCTTATAGAACTTGACGGCAGGGTGCTGTGGGCCGGGCAATTCTTCATTGATTGTTTTTAGAAATTTTAGAAAATTGCTCACTGCCTCATCGAATTCCATATTATCCACATTGTTTTGCCGACCAAATTTCTGGAAGGTAGCCGACCATTTTGCTATTTGATTCTTTACTCCCTCTTCCTCATCCTCTACATTTTTTCCCCTTTCTATATTACCAATCAAGCCCCTCATTCTAGCGTCATTTGCCTCCCTGGGATGCTTTTTAGCTATATGGGTTCTGAGACCTCTATCACCCTTGAAACTCAGCCCACAAATGGGGCATACTTTGTCATTAACCTCTGAGGAAGGGTCTTCTTTCCTCACATTTATTTCCCCACTAGGCTCTCCGGATGTCTGTGCTGTTTCGTGCAAACTAGGAAACACTTCATCAATTGGTACTGTTTTGCCCAATGTTTGGCCATCTTCACCCTGCCACTCTACCTTGATGAACTTTTTATCAGACATCACGGAGGCCACTACTGCTTCCTGGGCTGTGCCTCCTGATCTCAGAACCCATACTCTCTGACCTAGATCGACCCTCTTGGAATTATTTAGACTTGCATCCATATCCTTTTTATCTTTACAATAAAGTTACCATCCACACCATATAATACATAATGGTTACATAATACACACCATATATTATTTACAATCAAGTGAGAGAACTGCAAGTCTTGTCCATCCAAATATAGAGAAAAAAGCATAAACGAAATTGACTCACGCAAAAACAAAGCTATCAGTGGAGAAACTTTTTGCTGGGGATTCGTGAAGAGATTCCGTCTGTAATGGATTGGTTTTCGGAAGTTTATCAAACTCTTTATAGAATGTTTCAATCCATCTATCAGGAATTTCACTTATTTAAAATTAAAAGAAACACATATTTCAGATAACATGTGACTCAAATTAAATAAGTAACTCAGTGACTCAGTTATTAAATAAGTAGTTATCTTTACTATTGTGAAGATTGAAAGTTTGCTATGACTTTTAAACACCAAAAATATTAAGTGAACATTGCCTATTTATTAATAAACTGTTAAACTTTTAGGTGTATAAAATCCTTGGAGAAAATCTTATATATCCCTGGATTAGGGTTACTCTTTGGGTCAACAATTTTGATGTGTTTGAGTGGATTCATATTTGTCTCAGTAAGTTTTCTCACAGAACAACACAGATCACTGAAATTTGTTATTATTACGACTTATGATATTTAAAATATTATAAATATTACTATAGTATTATTAAAATAATTAATCATTCATTAGTAAATAAAATGTAAAACTTTTTACATAATTTATTTTTTTAAGAATCAAAGCGTTATTTTTATACTTTAATTAAAAAAATAGTGTATAATTTTAGTTAAAATAAAGATTGAATTCTTAGAAAATAAATTATGCGAAAATTATTATAGTAAAAACAACATGCTCATAGTAAAATAAACTTGAATTGATAAAAAAAAATTAATTTGATAAAATTATTTTATGATATTATGAAAAATTACAATATTTATTTATAGATGTATTTATGTATTGAAGTTTTCCGTGATTGTATTTCATGTAGCTTTTCGTTGTGTCGGTAAAATGTTTTTAAAAATATTATTTATTTATATTTATACTACATCATATTAAAAATATAATCCATACATGACTAACTCATTTTTGAGCAATTTTTTAAAGCTTATTTTATTACTTCATAATCATGCGTATTAAATTTAAGATACAACTTCAGTATGTTGTGAACTGCCTTCTTAAACAATATTTTAATTTTTTATAAATTAATAAAGATGATTTCTTTATTTAACAGTCAATATTTATTTTTTGTCCTTAATAGCGACAAATTGTAATATTTCTGACTGATAAATAATAAATAAATAAATATTTATTTTCAGAAAGAAGTGCCTTTCGCATCGAAAATAGTTTTTGGTACGTTCCTTTTGTCCGAATTAATGCTAATTTTTTTAATTTGTTGGTGTGGAGAGAACCTTCAACAGTGAGTAACAACTGAATAAAAGAACAAATCCAGAAGAAAATATATTTTTTTTTATTATAAGAAACAGGTTTTATATTTCCTTAGAGTACCCAAATTTTTGATATGGTATACTCGAGCGAGTGGCCTGATAACATGAAGTCAATGAAGAGCTACGTTCTCATTATACAGCTGAGGACTTTTAGACCAATTAAGATTAGTTTTGGAGGAATCATGGATGCATCATTGGAAACTTACTCAAACGTAAGTATTAACTAATCAATAAAAAAACAAAAGAATATTATTATATCAGTTCTATATTGAACCGGTTATACAAAATAACATATTTCGATCATTGAAACAAATCCAAAGAGCTGTTTATCTTAAATATAGTGAAAGTAAACGCAAGCAAGCTGCAGATGACATATGTTTTTAAAAGGAAATATATGTACCTTTATTTATTTTTAATTTGTTTATTTTTTACTGAACTTCCCAACCAACTTCTCTTCAATTATTCACTATAGTCAACCAACATACCACTAATATATATATATATGTTATATATATATATATATAAATATATATATATATAAATATATATATATATATATACATTATATTATATTCTAATATCTATTTTTCCCCATTATTTATATAACAGAGAATGTTTTAATTTTTTTTTCAGATATGCAGTTCTGCATTTTCATATTTCAATCTCTTGCTTGCAGTAAATTAACATTAATGAATAAAATGACGTAGTCAATTCATTCTTATTGATTGTAAGAATGGTAGCTGATGAATATATCATCGATAGGAAACTTTATTAGTCATAGCAAAATATAGAAATAAAATTAAAAAATAAGAAAAGAATTACTATTCATGTTATTAATTTCTAGTTGAATGCATACGATTTTATATAAGCACGATAATACTGAGAATATGGGAAAAATATCGTAATACACTGTTGATATTAACAATAATTGTTATGGCATAATATGGATAATAATAGTATGAATATTATTATATGTTTCATATATTCAGCTCAGCCTTTTCATATTTTAACAGTAAAATAAAATTTAAAAAATGTGATATAGCTTTAGATATATTTATATTTGTAGATATTTTTGGCCCTGAGATAATAATGTATCTGAAATCTTTGTTATTTTTATGGGGCATTGTGTCCAAGAATAAAATCGTTTTACCATTTCTATGCTATATAGATTTCTTTTTCATGTAACTCTATAATAAAGACGTAACCATTATATATATATTACTACACCAAAATTTAAAATAAAGGTTTAAGTACTTGTAGTTATTGAGATACCTATATTACTTTACACCACTTTACCATACATGTTACACCTATATAATAGAAAGAAGTATTGATACAGAGAGTATAGAGAGAGAAACCTTTTCATATGAAATATTTTATTTTTATTTTTTTTATTTTAATGAAATTTACAACTGTATTACATTAAAAATACAACGAGCAAATGTGATATTGGTAACATGACATGTAAAACATGAAGAGAAACTATCCATTGGTAGAACTCAATATATGAAATATAAATATAAAAGCTTGCTGGCCAATTTTATTGGGTTGCTAGACACACAGCATACTGGTAAATTCAATTAAAAGAAAATTAAATTGCTGACACTATAAATTGCTGATTACTTTATATATTTGTTACATAACCACCAACTGATTACTTTATATATTTGTTGTTATATAACAACCTGTACCACTTCAACGTATGAAGGGGTTGAGTACTATGTAACTACTGTTTCTTGGTCAGCAGTTGTGCAAAAAGGTGATTTGACCAAGATCACGCTCAACTGTCGCAAGGTGGATCTCTCGACCCCAGGATCGATTAAGAGGGTTGTTTACTTTATTATTAAAGATTTTAATAATATCCGGCCCGGAGGACCAAATGTTTACTTTACTATGCCAATCCCTTCCAAGACTGTCAGGGATATTGTCATAATAATTCTGCTTTAAGAGCTGGTGATAATTTATTGCTGTGGACTGTATAATTAGAGGAGTTAAAGGATTAAAGAAGTGAATGAGTAAAATTGATTGCTATATTTTATTACATGTATTTTATAAGGAGGTTAAATATAGGTGGGTTGGAATACTTGCATTTTTTCTTTTTCTTGTTGTGCCAGTCTTCTCGTTCATCTTCCCTCTCTTCCTTTCTTGGCCCCTTGCCGGCCGCTGTAGTGTTTTACTCCATGTTTAATAAATCAGTGGAATCACAAAATTTTCAACTGGCCAGTCTAGTCAATCACGGTACGTGAGCGTCTACGCTTCAACAATGGCGGCGTCACAACAAAGACTGAGGTATATATGCAGCATAACAGTTGTGTTGTGCTTACTTGATTTAATTCAAATATCAAGTTTGATGAGTTCCCTAAACAAGGGTAATAAATATAAAATTTAAAAAACAAGAAGGATGGAAATATTTTGGGAAAACAATATCAAAACAATAATAGTATTATATTGGATTGGCAAATATGTACTTTCGGTTTATCTGTTTATGTTTATGTCACTACCGTACACATTTTATCTGACGAATTAATGTGGTGGACAGTCCAAGGTTGATTGTTTATCCTATGTGTAATATGTAACAAACAATGCGGTAAACTCTTATTACAATTATATTGGTATTATGTTTGCTGATGCTCTGTGCCTAGTGAAGAAAATATCATTCATTATAGGCGTATTTTGCTATATTGCACAAAACGAAACGCAAAGAAAACCTTGTTAGTAGTAATACTAAATATAAAATATAAACTATGAAATAAAAATATAATGAACCAAATCAGAAATAGAGGCTGGTATGGTGGTACCTAGGTTCAGCGACCATGGAAGACAACCCAGCAAGCTCGAGCTTGTCCCAGAGGTTAACAGAGCTTCGTAACATAACACCTGCGTAATTCATGTTAATTCATAGATGAGGAACGTACGAGTCTAATAATATCTATTATGTGCAGAAATATGTGCAATTCCATAAATTATATTTCAGGTAATAATTATGAATTCTATGACAACACTACAATTAACATGAGGCTGTGTGAATATGAACCCAATACCTTGCATTGTCTCGAAATGATATATTTTTAGGTTATGGAATCAAGGAACCTAACCCAGGTATTGATGTCCGCATCAAAATCTTAAAACCTGATTTGTCCCATCTCGATTCACCGACTTACCACTGTCCCAGTATTATATCCTAGTTAAATGTTTATATCGACTTTATTAACCAAAATGGAAAATGGAAATTTTGAATCCAACGATACCTCATTCATGGGATTTGTGCATAGCTGGATATTTGATACAAACCCGATTTTGAGCTTTAGTGAAATAATATTCAGTGGTGTGAAAAATTCTTCGAACAAACCAAAGTTTTATAAAAAATTATAAATGTTTCAAAATAAAATGTTTTTTTTTTTTAAATTCTGGATGTCGCTCAATCTTTTGATAAAATTTGGAACCAGAGTCTACTTTTTTAAATTCAAGAGAATATTACCCAGCACATACTTTTTAAACCTTTAATCTTTCTTTTCCGACAGATTTTTCTCCGCCGTCAGGGCCCTGAAATCTATTCGACCACTCCTAGCAGGAGTACCTCAGGGGTCTGTACTCGCACCATTGCTGTACACTGTACCAGATACCCTCAACATCGAAACAGCAACATACGCAGACCACACTGCAATCATAACGAGACCCTACACAGGCCCTACTCAAGCTACAACATCACTTATACACACTATAAGATTGGTGCAGGATGTGGAAAATAAGATTGACAGATCCCAACAGACGACATTTACATTAAGACGCGAAACTTGCCCTCCCTTATATTTCAATAATATACCATTACCGCAAATAGACATGGTCAACTGCCTAGGAATAACATTTGATAGTCTGACTTGGGGCCCACACATTAAGAAAAAACGTAAAATTTTAAATCAAAGAAGTAAACTGTTATACTTATTACGCAGACCATTATCAAAATTCATTCAGAAACTGAGACAGAAACTTGCTACCTACACATACTTACTAAAACCGATTTGGTCTTACGTTTCTCAAATTTTCGGTTCTGCTAAAAAAGACACACATACAAACACTCTAAACATTTCAATCCAAAATGTTTAGACTCATTACAGAAGCACCTCGATATTTTTCAAACGCGACTTCACATACTGAACTTAGAATGCCCAAAGTCAACCAATACATACGGAATCAATACAAAAGATTTCTGACAATTTACAGAGACATAACAATAAGCTTATAGGAAAAATGGCCACTACTAAAATGCCTGACAACATCACGAGGCCGCTGAAAAAGTCGTGGATGAGAGACCTTCTATAAATTCTATTTTGACTCTGAAATAATGGAATGGAAGAAATACAATTCCATTAGACAGGCGTGGATAAAAAAATAAAGTTGTAAAAAAAATATGTTTTTATCTTTTTAATGGTAAACTTATTTAACCATGCAGACGAAATATATATTTAAATTGTATGCATTATTATAAATTAACAACAAGCCAAAGGACCAATTCGTTCTGTTAACGTTTTATTTTTATTTTTATTAAATGGTTTGAGGCAGTCAGATGAACGTCTTCTTGAATGTTTTTAATTTTCCTCGGGAAACGAAAAATATAAGGATACACGTGAATGAACCATACAATTTTAGGATATGTTACTTAATATAATTAACTTATAATATAAACTAATATTTCAATAATAGGAGCATCCGGGTGTGGTAAAATACCTACTTCAAGGCCTTAACTAAGCCGTCTAATCGACTACTCCTATTTTCTTAATTATTTTTAGTTTACACATTTTATTCATGTAGATTAATTGTTATTGATTTTGATTTCATTTTTGTTCTTCAAAATATTTTGTAGGATTGGCAAAATGATATTCTCGCTTCTCCTCACCATTCCCCACCCGAAGTCTGCGCCAATGTGTTTCCAATAACCTAACAATATTTAATTAGTTCCTAGAAAATCTTAAATCATACAAAGTACAGTTTACGAAAAGAGTTCCGTTCGATGGCATTGTTATTATTACATGTAGCTTAAATTGTAGCCGTAAACAAAGGTATAATTTGGACACCTCGGTGAAGGTGGAAGCCGGCTAAATATCTCAGGGTCATGAGATATTCAATCAAACTCACTTCTCTTCATTATTTAACAAATTGTAAGAGAAAGAGTAAGGAAAAAAGTCAGTCCTCTGCAGTATATAGCTTCCCAAGGAACTGAAAGAAACATGGCATTAACATCTGGTAACTTCTTCATGAGCTGTTAACTATTTCAGATTTATTGAATTCTGATAAACTCTCTCTATTTCAGACGACGATATTGCAGTAGACGAATATTATATTCGCAAATGTATGGAAGATAATTATGGCCTAGAATTCTGGCTCAAAGCAGGAGGATTATATAGTATTGGTCCAAATGGTAGGTAACCATAGTAACAGTATGCTAAAACCTATATTGAAAATATAATAAGATAATTATAAGTATTAAAAATAATAAAATGCAAGAATGATATTATTGTTAGTCAGAGCCATTAGAAATTAAATAAAACAATAGATAGTTCAACTTTTGAACAATCAGTAATCGAAGGACTAACATTTTTTGGTCTAAGTAGTCGGCATTACCATTGATGTAAAAACACACACACACACATATATATATACAGGGTGTCTCGTAATTAGAGGGAAATTTTTATAGGAGTGATATCAGACTTCAAGAGCTACAAAAAAGTTCATTCAATTGATGGGCCCATTTTCATCAGAAAAGTAGCGAATCCAAGTTTTGTGTTTTTTTTTTAAGTTAGTCATGTTTTTTATTGAATCGAAAGCAATAACAAAAAAAATTTAATTTGAGTAATTTATAATTGCTTCATTGTAAACAAGATGAAATTTACTTTAAATAGACATAGAGTTTATCATTGTTAAAATCATTTATAGAGGACTTTTGAGCGCCTAAACTTTGGTAAGTTTTGTTTTAAGAAAAATCATAAATTATTCACCTTTTTTTTTTATCATCATCCAACAATACTACAGTTACCCCTTCCCTTTAACAAAAACTTTTCCATTTAGTAATCTTTAAGTTCGTATTAATTAAGTTGAGGTTTATTACGAATAAATTTGAGATTCATTTCAAGTTTTGTAAACAAATGATATTTTTTATCCTGTCAAGTAAAAGTACTCCTGTTTTCAGCCAACATTAATACAATTAATTGTTGTAAAGCTTTTATTTCTTGTTTTCCCATAATTTAGAATGTATTTTAATAAACCTAATTGCCTAAACACACATTTTATTTATAAAAACAATTAATTCTAACAATACTGAAATGTCAAATATTTCTCTGATAAAATGGTTATAAACTGTGTTTTTAACTGAGATCTCTATTGTAGGAGCTGATCTGGATTTGTGAGTGACAAAATAAAAGTTTCTAGTCCTAAAATTTATATTTGAAATATAAAAATCCTGTTTTAAAAATTAATTAAAATTATTTTAATTAAAACGGTAATATCAGGATCAAAAACATTTAGTTTGTCACTTATAAATACATTACGATGAAAAGCAATGAACTGTAAGACTATACCAAATTTAATTGTTGAAATATTTATTTGTCCATAAGTGTGTAAATTTCAAAAGATAAAATCAATAAATTCTCTCTTATTAGGATGTGAAAAGTGTATTCAAAATATCTGTAAATACCGTTAATTTTTAGTAAAATCACTGAAAATTGCTCATTAATTCTTAAGGAATATATAGGAGGAAACTGGAGAAATTGTTCTTGTACTACGTTTTAGGGATGTTAAATAAAGATAATATAGAACAAAAACTGTGCTTAGAATACTTTCATTTTAAGGGGTTTTCCCACATCTGAACCACTGCGCTACAAAAAAAAAAAATAATACAAAAATAAACCGACAGCGAAATAGGCCAATGGTCTAAACTGTATGTATCGTTTGTTTCTTTTTTTACTCAGGAGACATTGGATCTCTTGAAAACCGCAAATAAATAATTGTTCGGATTAAAATTCTTTCTTTACTTAGAAGCGATAGAAAAATATAAAAACTGAAAAATGTTAACTTAAATAGCTTTCATATCAACAATCTACATTGATGAATATAAGTTCATGGATAAAATGACAAAAAACTAATAATTTTTGAGTAAAGTCATTTTAGTAATATTTCTAGTTGGAATGTATATGATATATGTACAGACAGTGAATAAGTCGATTCCAGAGTAGATGATTGCAGTGTTGAAATATAGAACTGGGAATAAAGAAATATCACTAAAATTAATAATCGAAAATATTGAAATTGGAGTTAGTCATTCTGTCAACTGAAAGGTTCATATGTAAGTCAGGTCCAAGAAAGTTTATCAATATCGTGTTCGAATCATCTATAATTAATGTTTATCGTGAATATCAACACAATTGAACGACGGTAAATATTGCAAAATAAACAATATCTGTTATATGACATTTCGTGTTTATTATGTATTCATATTTTAACCTGTATTTATTAATTTTTTTATTCTGTTTCATTACGTTAAATGATTTTTGGATTTCAGCTCGCTTAGTCCACATCATTACTGGATTGTATATGGTAGCTTTAGTTTCTCTTTATCCCCTCCTCATTATAACTATATTCAAAGAAAGCGGAGGAGAAGAATTGGAGATAGTTTGTGAGGGTATCCACTTCTCTATATTTACAATATTGGAGGTGATGTTCATAGTTTCAATCGTTATGAAGAAAAGGTTTCTATCGGAAATATTTACGTGAGTTGATTGTAATCAATTAAGATTATTGATATATGAAAATAACATGTTAAAAACCAATTTTATTATTGTTGTAACTGAATATGTTTGATTAAGTAGCGCTTAAATAAACTTTAAGATGTCTTTAAATCCTACCTTATTATTAAAGCAATATTAGGTTTATTCTAACATGAGTTTTGACTGTCAGCAACATGTCAGCCGCATTCACAATAGTTCATTTCCTATATCAAATCCTATACCACGCATGCGCCTGAAAAATATTTAACCATCGCCCATGCTGTCGATAGTTTGCTGATAGTCAAAATTCATGATATCAATTAATAGTTGTATAATAGATAATTTTTTTTAAATTTCTTAATTGTAGTTGTTAGTTTTCTTTTGCTTTTGTTTATTTTATATATTTTTGTAAATAAAGTCTGAATGTGTCCTTAGTTAACCATAATCATTGTCCAGGTGACAGAATTTTATATTATTCAATAAATAATTAAAATACATATATAAAAAAATTATTAAAGTACAAAGTTAAAAGTTTTGAGAGTATTTATGTATGTAACAATTGAAAGTGCTCAAATAGCATAAAATTCTTCTCTTTTGCCAGAAGTTGTCATTTTGACCACGCCGTATTGCCTAGGGTCTCTCAAGATTTAGATCCGTATTTATTTCATATTGTTCAACATATACTTATATATGGTATAATATTAAAACTCATGAAAGAATGATGAAATTCCTTTTCACAAAAAAAAAAAAAAAAAAAAAAAAAAAAAAAAAAAAAAAAAAAAAAAAAAAAATGTAATCTCTTTTTGTCAACACTGACACTTCTATTACAATAGTCTGATAAATAGGAAAATAGCAGAGAGAAATAAAATTTCAAATTATTCTAACAAATTATAAAGAACTAATCGGAAAGTAGAGTATTCAGAATAGTATTTTCAATGATATCGAATCCCTCAATTCGTAAATAATATAAATATGTAAAATTGATATGATGTCCAAAATGAATAAATTTTTTATCATCATTATTATTTATCTTTGTCTATAATATTCTAAAATAATCTTTAGATGATGTAACCTGTTCACTTATTATTTTTTTAATTCACCTAAAGACTCATGGGAAAAGGTTTCTATGACTACCAAAACACCCTCGATGAGAGATGCCAAGCATTTATCGCTAAAGCGTTGGATGAATCTAAGAAGAAAAAGACGATGATAACGAAAGCATTCATCGCAGTAGTGATGAGTGCCTGCGTTTCTATCACGATCCTAAGGCCGATCATGAAGTTCCTCCTTGGCGAGCATCGTTTAGGAACACCTGATGATGGTAGGTAACGTTTCACTAAAAAACGGTCCTGATTAAATTTCTTAATAGTAGAGGAATTTTATCAATTTAAATAATGAAGGCATATTTAATTTATTCATGAAAAACTAAAGGAATTCGGAAAGTGTACTTTGCACCCATAATAGACATTCAGTTTTTTGGAATAAGTAGGTTTTTTATATAATTAATAAAAAATTCATCATTGTTTTAAACGAAGAAATAGCAAACCACAGAGGAATGAATCAAAATTTCATACTTTTCTCTTAAAGAAAAAAATCAAAATGGCAATCGGCTATTGTGGCATGACATCACTTGAGGTTCAGATATCACCCACCTAAGTGTTTTAATTGCAAATCTACTCATATAGCACTGCCATTTGGGAGTCGAAAGCTTATTATTTTTTAATTAGTTGAAAATTATCAATTACTGGTACATTTATTTACCTTACGATTATTAGGACACTTAATACAATTTTAATAAGATTATTAAAACGCTTAATAATCTTTAAAAAAATAACCACCTTATTCTCATTAGAATTTCAAATTTTAATACTATGACCTATAGGTTGGGAACGTTTTTATAATTAGAGGCCGCAGTAAGGTTATGTCAATGCTAATACAAGCAGCAACAATATATTATATTTACGGTAATTTATATTTAAGATCTTATTTGATATTATATATATCAACTAAGATTTTATGGGACTGTTCATATAAATTAATTATATTCTAGTGCTAGATTAATGAATATCAAGCAAAAAAAACCCAATCGAGGAGCTACTTTTAGAAGAACAATAATTTCTTCTTTTTTTTTTATTTATTTATATATTTACAACTGTATACAAAAAATACATCTGGTAAATTCGCACATGGATATAATGACATGAAACACATGTTGAGAAACTACCCATTGGTAGCACTCTAATAATATGTCTATGTTAGGAGATCACGTGGCCATCTTCTTTTCAGACGTCTCGGAGGGTTATCAGGAATTGAATAGGAAGCAAGGTTAGAAACAAGAGGGTTTGGATGGTTTTGAAGTTTATTATGGAAGGACAGATATCTGGATTGGGCCAAATCTGATACATAAGGAACATAAAGGTCATTATGGATGATTTTCTTTGTAACAAAGTAAGGAGCATTGAGGATTTTACGAAGGATTTTGGATTGTAAGGATTGGATGCGAGAGGAATTTGAAGGTTTGGTGGAGCCCCATAGCTCAACTCCGTAAGTCCAATTAGGCCTTATTATAGTCATGTAAATGAGTCCTTTATAATTAATTGGGAGGTTGGAGCGTTTGTCTAATATGTGTTGAAGTAGTCGGAAACGTCGAGCTGTTTCTTGTCGTTTCAGTCTGGTATGAGGATTCCAAATTAGACGTTTGTCCAGATGGAGTCCTAGGTAACTTACAATAATTTCAATTCTCAATTTGAAATTTACGAGCTAGGATCTACAAAAATATTTTGAACAAGCTTTGTAATATTTATTTAAATATGTATGATGGAGAACAAGTTTTTAAATCTCTTAACATACCTCTACAGAGATAATGTAGAAAGTCAAGATCGTAAAGAGCTATTAATGGTTAATCAGTCGCAGTAATTCTGAAAACAAGGTTGCTTGTGCATTCAGTTATGTATTCACAAAATTCTCTGGGTCTAATGAATTCAAAGATTATAGCTCGACCTCATTAGTTGAGTCCCTGAGAGCGGATTAATTTGAAACTTATGTTTGTTTATTTTTTCCAGCCTGGTATTTCGCTTTAAATTAATTAATGTTGTGGAATAATTACTATGAAATACAAATATAAATGTCAATAAATAAATAACATTATTGTTATTTTATTATCACCTTCCCTTGCCTCTTTGCAATACAGATTTTTGGAAGAAGCAGCACGATACTTATACTTATTCTTGTCTTTCTTGTTATTGAGGTTGAAATGATCAACCCCTAATAATTCCTTCCACCCGAACAAGAATGCTTCGTAGTACCGGTAGTTATACTAGCTGAGGAAAATCGTCCTCCGTAACGATGTAGAAGAGTCCGGTTTCCCTCTCCGGAACACCGCAACAGAGATATAGGGGGTTAATTTATTTTCCAAAGGCAGGAAGCATAGCGCGAGCCCCTCCATAATCTATCAGAAATGTGACACCCAATAATCAGGGAGAACCCATTTCGCTTGCAACCTTGAATAGACGGTAGAAAAGTATTCCCTCAAGGTAGAGAGCCTTTATGAGTAGTTACCCATCGTCCATTGCTCAGTGATGTCCTCAAACATTGTTCTCTTCTATTTAGATGGATCTGCCGCAATACTTTCTTGGAGATTTTCCTGCAAAGCATTATGTTATAAGATGTAATAAATAAAAAACAAAGTAATACTTGTGCATTTAGTACATACTATTTATTTATAAACACATAAATATGCGGCTGATATACAATTTTAGTAGAATCGAAAAATGCGTATGATTTTCTGGAAAATCTTGATTTAGATAATTTCATGATTTAACTCTTTCTTTGAAAGTTTGATATAAATTAATAAATAAGCATGAATTTGAGTTTAAAATAATGTCAACTTATTATTCTTTTTTTAGGCCTCCTGCGACTGTTACCCGTAACTATGTGGACACCATTCAACAAAGATTCCTGGTACGTCATGCTGATGTTTTTCCTCGGCGAAGAAATAATATCTTACGTGACCCCAGGAATAGTTTTCAGCTTCATGCTCCTCATCCTCTGTACCTGCGAAGACGTAGGAACTCAGCTCGTCATCCTCGGACGCACCCTCAAGTCTGTAGTGCGAAGAGCGGAGGGGCTCGACATGCCGAAGGAGGAAGCTCTGAAGTTGTGCTTCAGCCATTCCATAAGGCACCACATTAACCTCATAACGTGAGTTTTGGTTCTCAATTTATATATATATATATACATATAAAAATCTGTACCTCTACAACACATGAAGGATCCGGCAGGTTCCAGTACTTTGTTAAGAACCACTCTTTCTACGACAATGGTTGTGCAAGGAGGGATCGGTCCAAAATCACGCTCAACCGCCAGGTTTTCGCTGTTAATTAATTAACAGCACCGACTTTATAGAGGTTGGGTGTGCCCCATGAGGGTCTCTCGATCTCATCTCGAAGGCAGATAAAAAATTACCTGTCATCAGCCGGATTCGTACCTATGATCTAGAGCATAGCGGTCGAGAGCCAAACTACTCCATTCCCCAAACAAAATAATGTGACGTTAAATATAGCGTGGGCTACTTGTTGTGTTATGGCTCATTCGATATTGAATCAACCTGATATAAATGTTTTGGCACCTAAAATCTCAGGATTGTGACCGCTAAATTTTCTAATATCAAACTCATCTAATCCTTCCAGTCAAAAGCTCTTCGAAGAATAATAAATACTTCGTGTTATGTAAAAAACAAACCACTACACCATGACCTTAATATTCCATTGGACCAAGATTGTATCCCAAAAAAAATATCCCAATTTCACCAGAATCTTACGTGTTATTGAAATCCTCTTTGACTATCCCTCTCTAGCATCGCCCACCCTTCAGATTGAAGGTTGAAACGGCAGTGACCCCGCGACATTTTGTAATATGAATACAATGAAATTCTGGTAATAGCCAGATTCTCCACTCAATAATCGGTTGTATGTGGCTAAAACGGTATCGCTTAACCTCCACTGTTATTAGTGTTGCCCAAATGCTAAACCGAAATGTGTATTGGTCTTGCTAACTCATTTTTGGTCATGGTCTTGGTCTTGCGCAAGAGTCTTGCAGAGTCTTGCTGTTCCTTATTAGCTTATTACTGTATTTTTTTAGATAGGAGAAACCTAACTAAGCCCGAATGAAAGATTAGAGGAGTTAATTGCAAAAGTATATTGGTTATACCAATTATTTACATATAGTAACTAAGATTGTCAAGTATTAGTAACTATTTTGCCTTAATTTTTATTCAAAAATTCGATTTTTTTACCAGTCCCGGCCTTGGTCTTGCAACAGTTAGGCGGCTTTAATCTTTGCACTTTGCAAGACCAAGACCGATTTTGTTCAACAGTAACTGTTATTAATACCAGTGACACGGTTGAGAAAGTAGCTTATTCTTAGGAATACTGTTAGTAGGAAGCTATGAAACACACTCACTCCAAAAAAACTTGAGTCTTTAAATCAACAAGGAAGCTTATTATTTTCATCTAAAGTCCAACTTATCCATCACCCTCTGTCTGGTGCGTTCACCCTAGTTATAATTTTCATTCTATTTATTTGTATTGTTTGTAAATATGATGTAAGAGTGTTCATTATAGCCATTATCCATATTGTGACGGAATATTATATTACTCTATAAAGTAGTTTAAACAAAAAAAATCAATACATTATTTCTTTTTTTTTTCAGATGCATAAACTGCTTAGAAAACGTCTTACATATCCCTGGATTAGGATTACTCATCGGTTCTACATTTTTGATGTGCATGAGTGGATTCATATTCGTCTCTGTAAGTTATTTTTACGACTTTGAATGGAATTAAAAACTCTTCAATATTGTTAAAATAATACAGTATTCAATATAATTACGTAAACTTTAATAAATAGTTATTAATTAGATAAAACAAAGTTTGAAACACTCTTCGGCGTAAAGGACATATGAAGGAAGCTCTAGAGTCGATACACGTTCAATCCGCCCAGTTGTCATAAAATCCAAGAAAATGGGCGGCAGAAGTTTTTCGCCCTGAAACCAAAATAAAAAAAATTAAAAAATACACAAAAGAATAATCCTTCAAACGTTCAAAGTTTGTAAGATGTAATGTTAATATACAAAAAACATGACATCCTACATTATTTTCTGGACTACTCAAGATTTCAAATGGCCCGGTTGTATTGATGAACATTATTTCTTTGAAACATCATAGGTATTTCACTTTGTTGGAAATAACTTTATAAATTATCCTAAAATGACCGTTTTACACATTCTTATCTCTGTGAACGATATTTTAAATAGATGAAAATTCAATATATGTATATATACATATATTTAAAAAATACAATTATGGATAGTAATTTTCAGAAAGTAGTACCTTTCGCTTCAAAAATCGTCTTTGGAACGTTCCTACTGTCCGAGTTGTCGCTGATTTTCTTGGTATGTTGGTGCGGAGAGAACATTCAAAACAAAGTGAGTAAGAATTGGATTATAGAATAAACCAGGAGCCACAGTATTTTTTTTTTTAATGGAAAAATTCATTTCTTAGAGCACTCAGGTTTTTGACATGGTATACTCTAGCGAATGGCCAGATAATATGAAATCGATGAAAAACTATATTCTCATTATACAGCTGAGGACTATAAGACCTATAAAGATTAATTTTGGAGGAATCATGGTCGCTTCACTGGAAACCTTTTCCAATGTAAGTATAAGGCAATTGATACAAAATCAAAAGTTTCAGATTTTCGTTGATTGCACACATTAATTAATCGTTATGATTTTTTTTAGTTCTATTATTGTTTTCCATTATTTCAAATCATTACATTCATAGATTCTACACACATTTTATAATAAGTTTATTTTAATAAATACATTATTTCGATACACACTTTTTAAAATAAGTGATTTGTTGTCGATTTCAGCCAAATTGCTTCAAAACACTCATGAGATTTCATGGAGTAATTTGAGTCATCAAACTTAAAAATCGGTCCACTCGTTCGCTCAAAAAAAACATCTACAATGGGTCAACCTAAATACATAATCCCCGTTTGTGCTTTTGCCAAAATCGGGTAAAAAAATAATTAAGAAATAAAATAACCAGAATTAAATTTATGCTTAAACATTAGATTATACAAATAAGCAATATTTTTATTTATTGGTTTTTAAATTTTAATCTCTTGCTGAACATAAAAATAAATTGTATTCAATATTAATAAGTATCGTTTTTTTATAGACAATTTAATATGAACTCGTTTTGTCTAAAACTTTTATGGTAAAAATATATATTTTCTGAAAAAAAAGAAAGAAAAAACTTGAAACATGTTGCCGTTTATTTCCATTTAAACCATAGTAAAGCTAAAAACATTGATTTCCGAATCGTTATGTTAATAATATAATAAAAAAAAATTACACACCACTCTACTTAAAAATCCGGTGATAGCTAATATAAACTTATAATAATAAGTTTGGATATCGTTTTAAAAGGATATATTTTTTAGTGTAAATTTTTGTTATGTTTGTTTCAGATATGCAGTTCAACGTTCTCATATTTTAATCTTTTGCTTGCAGTGAATTAATACGAAAGAAGAAATTGATGTAGTCGAATCATTTTAGATGATGATAGGATTGTATCGTGGAGAGGACACTTTATTATACTGTAAAATATTTTAAATAAAATATTATATGTAGAATTTCTGTATTCCTTTCATCTATAAATTACATTATTTTTATTCTTGTTGATTTCCTATTGTTTTATAATGAATAAATATAAATTTATACTTAAGTCTATATTTCATAATTGATATTTAAAATAAATAAATGTTTATCATAATGGTCATAGTAATAATAATAAAGGCTTAGCGAACCCGAATGGAAGTAGACAGAGATATTAGGAATAGTTGTCTACTTGCTTTCTTTCATAGGGTAATATTTCACTGCTACTGCCCACGGCAGTCAACGCCATTCCATACTGCCAACCGTTTATCCTTGTCTATTTCTCTGAAACTGCTCACCGTTGCGGCCAAGTCCTATCGATTAAGCATCCTAGTTTGAAATAATTTTAAATAAAAATGTCGCCTTAATTTGCCTTAATTTGTATCGGAAGGACAGAAATACATATGATGGTGAAATTTCGATCTTACTTAAGTAATACACTCCATTTTTTTTTGTTACTGTTGAACAACAAAGTTAGGTTATATCTACTATTAAGCGGACCATACACGGTAATTCATGAATGAACGTCACAAGAAGTTCCAAGATTGCCCGCTATCGCTTTGATTATGAAGACCCTTACACGTTCAATCATTACTGATCATTACTTATCGTTGCTGATACCAATTTAGCGCAGTTGTAAACAAAGAAACAGCATAGATATGCTTATTTGGACATTGTCATTTATAATATTGGGCATCAAGAGAAAAACGGAGATATAATAATTACTTCCTAAAGCCTGAAAATCGTTTAGACCAAATTTAGAAAAATATAAGTCAACTACATACAAAAATCTAGGAAAAGTATTGCGAAAATAATCAATTTGTTAAGAAAAATGGAAAAATTAATGGCAAATAAACACAACAGTTAAAGATTTTTTTTCTATAAGTAAATTGTGAAGTTTCCACTTTTTTCTCTCTCCAATTTATTGCCTACTTGACTATTTAAAGAAAAAATATATTGGGATATAAACAACTATTTACTATAAAATTATTTACTTGATAACGAGACCTAGGTAAACTAACCTATCTGGTAGTAAGGTTAGTCTCATAGAAAATCGTTTTGACAAAAGTTAGTAAAATATAAGTCTACTACTTACAAAAATTAAGGAAAGATATTGCGAAAATAATAAATTTGTTGAGGAAAATGGAAAAAGAACTGATAAATATACACAACGTTAAAGTTTTTTTTTCCTAAAGTAAATTGTGAAGTTTCCTCATTTTTTTTTTTTAATTTGTTGCCCACTTGACTATTTAAAAGAAATAGTTAAAGATGGTTTAAAATTATGAACAAGGGATATGAAAAATTATTTAACTATTTACATATAATGAAAACCAGAAATTTATAATGGTTGTGAGGCCTAGGTAACCTAACCTATCCAGCAGTATGGCTAGTCTCCCCACTACTTTTACCTCAGTCTCCCCCCTCCACTTCTCTTGAATGAACCTTTGATTTCCGGATGTTCGGAAATCCGCAGCGCACCACCATCAGTACTTCATTTACTACCTTACACGACAATTCGGAACGTCATTAGTGCAATTCCGATTGACCGTGTAGGGTCCCTTTTACATGTTAACAATCATCTTCATACTAATTCCAACCTTTTACAAAATTATGGTTTCTTGTAATATTTTGAATATAAAATATCAGCCTCAAGATAACAGAAGATGAAGATTTTAGGAATTAAGGATGTATCTCTTGATTTTAAATTGATTATAAATTATAAGAATGCTCTTCTTAATAATAAATATCATATATTTTCAATGAAATCACAGCAATGTTCCACCCATTATCATTAAGTAATCAATAAATCAGAACTAGAAAAATCCTTATATACGTGTATTATATTATTATTATTATAATTTAAGATAATCAATAATGAATTCAATATTTATTCTGCATGAACATCTGTACGAGTTGATGTCGCCACATGTTTTCAAGTTCAAATCCACGTCATAGAAAACAATTATTATACCTACTTTAATGTGTTAATTAATGAAAAACAAAACATTTTTACTCTTTACAAAAAATAAAAAACCACTCATTTTCATCTGATGTAACGATCGTTACGTTATTATGATCGGTCCCTGTCACTATGCGAACGTTAATGCATGAAGATTTGGCTCCTAAGGAACGTGCAAATAGTGAAAGCGATAGCAGGCTCCATTTGAAGATTAAAAAGGATTCTTTAGATAACAACTATTTACCCTTCATAGCTGGAGCTGTCACACTGTTGAACGTTATTATGGCAAGGTATATATCTGAAATATTTTAAATATTTTTATATTGGTGTGGAGATAGTTGACCGTGGTTATAATTTGAGGAGTTGGTCGCGGGGTGCGATTAATATACACTGTATATTATATAAATAGTATTTTATTTATTACAGTATTTTTTGTATTTCACGAGTTTCGACCTACTTTATAAATCTTCATCAAGGCTAGAAAAGATATTGGTATCGCAAATAAGCCCATAGCAACGGTCCTGATTAACTAATATCAATGATATAACTAAGGTAATTGTATTGGGTTGGCAAATAAATCTCTTCGGTTTTTCAGGGAGAAATAAAACTCAATGTATTACAGACATAAAATTTATTTTAATCTACAATATATTGACCATTATTTAATATGGCATGTTCCTATCTTTCCACTAACTGCATAATGCCATGTTCATAGAATGTCTGGAGGTTATTGTTAAAAAACTAGCACGTTTTTTTTGTGATGTCTGTTATATACGGCATCTTAATAACTGAATAATACTATAACTATATGGGTCGACTTCAAGAGTTCATTTCAGTTCATCCTACAAGAGGATGACAAGATCATGGATCTAGGTCGCTTGGCAAGTTTGTGACTTCAAGAATGTAACTGCATGAGTGAACTGTGGACCATGACAGTAAATGTACCCAGAAATAGTAGAGATGATGAGAGAAGGGAGGGGGTGGGTTGAGAGGTAGTTATCAATAATTGATATTATTATTTGTTACGGATTAAGTCTATTCTCTAACTACACGACTCCTAGTATTTCTGTAATCTTTTGTAGATCAGGCAGAGTAAATTGCTGCCAGGTTCCTAAATACATTTACGTTTAAATTCCTTACAACCTCTTATGTATATTATTACCCATTTTTTTTTACATTATTTATATTTTATTTTATTTTTGATTCACGTTTTTATTTGTATTGATTCTGAAATTGTAATAACCACCAGAAATAAACAGTAAAAGATCAATTGATACCCGCCCTGCGATCTCGAAGAAGTTCTACAAGGAGCAATGAATCAAGAGAGACCGGGGAGTGCGAGACCGCATTCGAAATCTTCCAAAAGTAGCTCGAAGAAGAATGTCCTTTCTAGGTAATTAATCTTAATTTATCTCTTCAATTGACTAACGTGTCAATATTATTTATTTTCGAAGAGCTTTATTAGCGGCCAGCAAACTCTGGCTTGGGAGACATATGTGACTCCTTGTGCTTGTATGGCTCTCCAGAGTGCGCTGCAATTCGCTCTCACTTTTACTGTTTATATCAAGAAACAACAATTTTTATAAATTATTGAACATGAAAAAAAAATAGTCATAAAAATAATGAACAAAACGAGTAATAGAATAGCATAATATTTGTTTTCAATCTTTTTTATTACTTCTTCTCTTTTCTTCTTCCATTTACTTTTCAGTATAGACAGGTCTCGATTCATCTGATGTATTTTTGTTTGTCTTATCGAACCTGTCTCATTTATGCAATAACATTCCCTTTTTTTCTCCCAATTTCCAAACACAATCTCTCCTCGTAAGCTTCTCTGCTTAGATATATTATCTCAACTGCGATAATTCGGCTGATATTTTAGTCACTTGTAAACCAACTCTCACTACCATATGTCAGAGGGAAGAAAAACACTGCTTTAAAAGATATGTTTCTAAAATATATGTTTGTTTATTCTATTTGAAATGTCTTCGTCCATCCTTCTCGTATTGCTAATAATTGTTCCTAGTAGACATAATTGTTAGTGTTTTCCAATTGTTCTCTATTACTGTAGATAGCTGACTTAGTATGCTCAAGGTTCCATGACTTATTTATTCTGTTTTATCGGTCATGGATCGATCCTGGGATCGGAAGTCCGCCTGTGTGTCACTTAATGAGGTGAGTACACTTACTTAAATTATTAATAATGGGGAAAACATAGCTGTTGAGCGTGATCTCGGTCAAATCACCTCCTACCACAAACATTGATCCAAGAAACAGTACTTCCTTACAAAGTACCCTGAATCTAAGACACTCCATAGGTTGTAGAGGTGAATGTATTTAATACTAAGAAATAATAAGTAAAATATCAATACTAAATATAAGCTGATACTAAATATAATTCAATTTTAAATAAATAAACCCTACATCATGACCTTAATATCCCATTTGTCCTTGACCTTATCCCTGAAAAATTTTCAAAATTCCATCAGAACTTTATCAATCATCCAAATCCCCTAGCCCAATCCCTATCTAGTTCCACTCCTCCCTACAACCCTCGTCGAAGGTTGAAGCAGCAGTGGCCCAGAGATCTTTTATAGTATTTATTTTGTAGTTCTGGCAATGGCCAGATTCTCAATTCAAGACATGAGTGTATAAAGCGCTCTCGCTCGAACTCCACCGGCTTTAGCACCGGTGAGGCGGTTGAGAGAGTAGCGCAGGGATTTGGGTTCCCCGCCTGATTATATAAATTGTATATAGGTATGACAGTATTTTTATGTTTTTAATATTTAGGTTATTTTATTTTTTTTATTGTATATAGTTTTTATTTATTATTATTTAGTTATTATTTTACGTTTGTTAATTTTACTTTTTTTTGTATATACGGTGTGAATGTATTCATTTATCAATATAATTATTGTCCCCGTGACAGAATATTATATGTCTAAAAAAAAAAAAAAAAAAAATATTGGCAAAAAAAACAAAAACAATTATAATAACGGCTGTTCTTACTACCATGGACTAAAAAGTGAATATCAATTCAGAAAGCCCGACATGAATAAAATATTCCGTGTTTTAGTTATCTTCCGTAAATTTTAAGTTTTTCCGAATTTTTGCCTTTTTTATGCATTTTCCCAATACTCTGTAACTTAACTCATTCTGCTCATTCAATTGACATTTGTTTTTTAAAATTTTTCAATTTCAGGGAATAACAATATTTTTTTTCTATTAATGATATCCATTATTTATTTACTTCTAATCACCATCCTCTTAAACATTGCAGTGACGCTGACGATCTGAAGCGGAATTTGAGGTCCGGTCGAAGCAAGTCGAGGAAGAGCGGGCGGCCCAAATCCAAGATGGATCTCCGGATGCGGGCGATGAACAGCCGCACCGGATCCGCGAAGGGACAGGGGAAGAACATGCCACCTGGATCCAGGGGGAAGGCCAGGAAGAACTCGATGACCAAGGAGCAGTTCACGTTGAACAAGGAATCTTCTCCTGGTCCCGACTCGAAAAACCCCCCTTCTAATGAAGATTTATAGAAATAATATCTTCATTTCACACATGTCTTCAAATTTTACCTATTAAAAATGAGTGTTTATAAATATACTTAAATTATTTGAATATATCATATTAATTCTGTGCACTGTGTATCTTAGCAGATTTTAAAGACTATTTATACTAATGGTTTAGATTCAATAACTTAAATTAAATATAATATTGAATCCTCTCAATAGTAATAGAAAACAATGGCACAATGCCAATAGAAAATATGTATATGTGTATATATATATATATATATATATATATATATATATATATATATATATTTTTTTTTTTTTTTTTTTTTTTTTTTGTTACAACCTTTTTTATCTGCCTTACTTATTTTATCCATTAATTAAAAATCTTTCCATTCATTTCTATTTACATGCCCCGTCTATGGTTATGATACTAGAGAGCTAATATTTAAAGTTTATTAGAATACTTTGGCAGATGAAGAAGCTGCAACAGATATTTTATTTGAAATAATTAATAGTTAAGCTGTTAATTATGATTGTTGGCTGTAGTGGAGCTGATATACTGAACTATAAAGAACAAAATATTACATTTAGATTTAAAAAACATAAAAGTATTCAGCATACATTATACATTTTAACCCTAATAATTTATATGACTTTACTAATTACATCATTTAATAAACATGTACATATTCTTTGCTATAAGCTTGATTTAGTAACTTGAACAATTTATAATCATGAATTTAGCAATAAGATTGACCAATAATGTTTTAATTATTCATAATCCTGATGAGATTAAATTTATTTTACTATTCAGTTTCAGCTGTATAAGTGAAATTTTACTATGGTATACCTCCCATTTATTATTTATAGTTATAACCTTTTTCAACATAACATACCATAATAATATACGAGTATATATTTGATTTCAGTTGGAAGAAGTGAGTTAGGCGATCCTAGAATTTATATGGCGATATATAAAATTTTTTCACCTGGAGATCGAATAAAATGTTTTAACAAATATTAATGTTTTTAACTACACAATTAAATAACTGCTATTCTCAGTTTTCAGATAAATTTCAGAAAAACTATTTGAATCCTTAAGAAAACATTTCTTACAAACTCAATATATAATTGACATACAAAAAAAATTAAAAATTAAATTGGTTTCATCTTTCATTCCTAGAATTTTTCTCCAATCCTCCCAGTCCAAAGTCCTTCGAACAATAGTCAATGCTCCATATTATGTCACGAACAAGACCCTACACCATGACCTTAACATCCCATATGTCCATGACATCATCCCATCCAGATTCTCCAACTTCCACCAGAACCTCATTCATCATCCCAATCCTCTAGCGCAATCCCTATCCAGCTCCGAACATCCATACCATCCCCCTCGAAGGTTGAAACGGCAGTGGCCTCGAGATCTTTTGTAAATATGCCTTTGGAGTCCTGGCAATGGCCAGCTTCTCCACTAATGTCCTGAGCGTCTGTGGCTCTAGTGCCCTCTTTCAGTCTCCATTGGCTTCTAATACAAGTGATGCGGCTGGAAAAGTGGCGCTGGGATCTTCCGGAGTCTTGCTTCGCCTTCCACGTGTGGGGGAAAAAGCCTGGCTCTGAGATTCTTGGGCAAATGTATATATTGTATATAGGTATGATTGTGTTTAGAAGTTTTATTTTATTTTATTTGTTTATTTTATTTTTATTTAACTTCTTCACCAGTATTATTTATTTACTTATTATATTTATATTTATGTCTTTATTATTTGTATATATTGTATGAATGAGAACTTGTAGCCCTAATGCTTATAGCCCTCCAGCAGTGGCTGATTGTATTATTATTCAATAAACAGATTAAAAAAAAAAAAAAAAAAAGAATTTTTCTACTTTTAGAATCATATATAATGTCATCATTCAAGTAATTTATATCATGAATGCAACTGATATTTGAGCTTTATCATTAAATAAATGTATTTATAACTGAATAATCTATTAGCACTCATTTCATACCAAATACTTAATACGGACGTTATGAACTTAATAGGTTTGTGAAAACTGATTCAGAAAATATGTAGATTGAGCCGTTTAACCAAGTAATCACTGCATATGTTTGTGGAATAAAAAATGGTACTATTATCTAGTTGGGCAAGTCACGCAATGGTAGCAATATAAATACTTCTACATCGTAGCGCATGGCGTATTTCAGAAAGTTATATTGCAGGTGAACATTAAATCAATCAGATTTCTCTTCAACTAGTTAATTTAATATAATAAAGATTTAATAATACGGAAAAGTTAATCAAGTAGGCTCCGTCGAGGTTCATTTTTAGGTAAGGTTAACATCTCGAAGATTCATTCCATCCCAATCATTTTTAAATTATCGTTTAATTATTTTAATTTTATTTGTCCAATATGCCAATACTTTAGGAGAGAGAAACACTTTATTTTCATAAAATATAAAATATAAAAGATTGGTGCCCAATTATATTGGGTTGCTATATACACAGTATACTCTTCTATACTTAGGACAATAAATGAACTTATATATAAATATAATTCGCCATTTCTCTCTGTTTCTTGCCACTACCTTCCAGTTCCCGACACCAAGCAAGGACCTAGCGTCAGAAGCCACCCTGTCCTCCCAGCGAAGGTTAAGACGTCCAACTTTTCTTGTTCATATCCACACTCTGGATATGAATATCTTTATGTGGAACCTCCATCCTAGCAACTCGCCCGCTCAACGAAGCCTTAATAACTTTATTGAGATGACTACATCAACATTTCGATATTCGGTTCTTAATTAAGCATTATTTCTCCTTCTCCATGTGTCTTGTTTCAGACACCACAGTATATTAGTCCACTGTTCTTGGCATTTGGTCAACTTCCAACATTCTGACCCATATGCAAGGACCGATTGGGCGTCTTATAAAATTGAATTCGAATTTTATCTATTTTTACTTTCACTCACCTATATATGAAACACATAGTAAGTGTAAGTATTGCGATCGTGAAAATTTATGAATCTGAGTTTTCAACGAAAATACACGTTTTGAAGTCCTCTGAGTCAAAATAACCAAGTCCCGAAAAATGGTCTGTGTGTCAGCGTCTATGTGAACACTCTAGCTCAAAAACGAAAAGTCGTACGAAACTGATATTACATATTTAAGATAGGTATATGCATTAGATGTCACGGTAACTTTTTCATCAAAATCAGCTAACCAGAATTGCCACTTTATTAGTGAAACACATTTTTACAATTTTCTCAGAAACAGCTCTAACGATTTTGATTAAACTTGGTGTATTATTGTATAATTAAGTGGTATTTATTATCATTGAGGGCTTATCCCCGTTGATGTCGCTTTACAGGGCTTAAATGCCCAATGTTCAAATGCGCCTTCCTCTAAAGTACCTTTAAAATGGTTTATTTTAAATAATTAACTATATCACATTATTAAGAGTTAAGAAAAAAATCTAAATATAACTTTTGAAAGAATTTGACAATTGAATAAAGGAGAAAAAAATAGAATTTCCGGAAATACTAGTCTGACGGTATACGTATAGAAAGGTGTAGAAGTTAACGGAGAGTGGCGAAAAAATTATAAATAATAATCTCTTAAAAGTAACATTATTTAACGTAAATCACAAACTTTCAAGGAAATTAAATGAAATTTACTAACTAAATGTAAACTTTTAAAATATTTTTAACTTTGAAAAAGTATTTAAAATCCATTTATCATGGCGAGGACATTGTTGAAAACAACTATTTCATTGTACTTGTGTGGAAGGAGAAGTAAAATGTAAAATCATTTCATGGATGCATTAGCATATGTTTATAACCCTAAATACATTTACTGTAGTTTAATAATTATATATATAATATTATATTTAAATAATTAGGTATCAACGTCCGTTTATTCCGAAAATTTATCATGTAACATGTTAGGAAATTAAATTAGTGAATAATTTGATGAATTTTCTCTTTCTTAAATCCCAACATTATCATGTCTAACTTTGAAGTATTTTTAATTTGGTTTATTATAAATAATAACTATTAATCATTGTTAGAAAATATTAGAAAACGCCTAATATAACTTTTGGAAGAATTTAATGATTAAATCAAGGAGAAAAAAGAAAATTACTTATTCACGTTGAAAATGAATATCCGCAAATACTAGTCAGAAGGTATACGTATAATATATCGTTGGAAAGCGAGGAATTAATAAAAAAACATTATATAATATAGGAAGTTGTACAAGATAACAGAAAGTGACGAAAAAAATATAAATAATAATTTCTAAAAACTAATATTATTTAACATCACATGATCATTTTCTTGAAAACATGTTTTCAAGAAAATTAAATGAAATTTTGGTACTAAATGTTCTAAATGTTAGTCAAAAATTTGATAAATTTTCCCTTAGCGATATCCACTTACAATTAGTGTGACAACTTTTGATCATTCCCTCACAGACAATGCAAATCTCTTAATTCCATTTTAGTAAACTTTGCAATGTAAAAAATTTAATAACTAATAGTCGTACAATCCATAATCAACGGATCGTACGACCCATAATCGACCGGTGATATAACAAATAGGACTTTTGTCATTTTAATGGTATTTATGGTTTGTTAGCTGTAAGCGTTTAGTATTAGCTCAGTTAAAAATGAAATTCAAACATTTAATAATAGCCCAACATGGCCAAAAAATAATTTATATTCAAAGTTGAGCGGTAAGTGAAAGTTGTGTGTTGCGTGCACCAGATTTTGTGTTTGCGCAACACAGCGCACATGCTGGGCATGAGAATTCGGAAACTTAGGTTTCTTACTATAAACCCAAAATCTATCATAAAATCCCCATTTTATTATACCTTGTTTTCTTACTATATTTATAGGACTATCATTAACAAATAAACATTTGATTCCAGAAATGTTGGAAACAATAAAAGCAACATTGAGAAAAAAAACAGAGAAAGCCATTGGTAAGGTATTGATGGAAAACCAAGGAATCTATATGGTAAGTATTCATAAATATGAAAGTATTATCATCAACTTAATATTTATAAAAAATTTTATGAATGTTCGTTATAATATAATAGCATATTTATGAATATGCCAAACGTGAAATAATTA